AAGATACTGCTTTTTAAAGTGTATCACTTTATTCTCCTCTTTTAGTTTCACTACATTATGTGTTATCCCAAAGCAAAAACATTTCAGGCAGATTTAACAAGGTTTTTTTTATAAAGCAACAGAAATGAATTTTTTGTGTTATCAGCTTTTTTCCCTCTGTGTATTTCATTGAAAGGGAATTATATTTTTGTATTTCTGTTATTGTGATATTGTTTCTCTTTTAATGCGTATGACATGATGCAAGTAGATGTGCTTTGTATATAATAGAACATGCATTCGTGATATTTGCGTAAACTTGTGGGGTGGGTTGATTGGGTGTTTTTTAAAAGTTAGGAACTAATGGCATGCTTACAGCAGTGTCTTTCAAATGTCAATATGACTTCTTGTTTATTTGTGTGAAAATAGTGCCTTCTGTTATTATTTAAAGTCATCATTTAAATCTCAATTTTAGAGATGTGGGAAACCAAAGCCATTGGATCTTACTGGACATGGAAGTGTTAAAGCCATATGGGATTATTGGAGATGCAGATGTGTGAGAGGAAGAGAGTATCCATGTACCGAGTGCAAGAATGTCAAATTTGAAATACCAAAAACATTAAAAAATGTATATTGTGAATGGTTTCCTTGAGTCTTCAATCTAAGATAGTTATTGTCTTCATGGAGCATGTCTCCATCTAGTGGTTCCTGCAATATTTTAGGCAGTGTTATTATTTATATAATGCTATTTATTTAAGCAATGAGCGGCTGACAGCAGTGCTGTATCGTGAATAAGTAACGGCTGAAGGGCGCAACGGGAAGCGGAATGTTTATTGTGTGGTAAAAGCAAAACGGTTTAAAGGGTAACTAAACGCTAAACCAACTTTAAAAAAAAAAAAAAATGATCTGTAAGAATTGGGCTTTTTTAATGCTGATCATTGATTCGAGTAACTTTTTTTAATATGTATTAGTGCAATTCTCATGAATGAATGAATCACTAAAAGCCTTCCTTCCGCTAAAAAAAAATGTCCCTAACCGTGAACAGCAACAACGTTCCAATGTTGGGTGATGTCATGGCTGTGTTTTATCAAATATCCTTCTTCGTTTTATGGGTTTTAAAATGAATAAAACACAGCTATTGACCAACCATAATCAAGGATTGGAACTAACCGTTCTAATATATTCTATTTTTGTATTATAGCTAATATTAGAGTGTGTTTACATTACAAATTACAGAAATAATATATACAATGCTTGGACAAAAAAAAGTTGCTGCTTGGATTTAAATGAGCAAATGCTGATTGGATCATAATTGCAGTGATTATGATGTTAGGAAGACAATAAGACCATAGACTGTAAAAAATAGAGTGGGACACCCCATGGCCATACTCCAGGATGACAATGTCAAGACTCTTCAGGCTCAAATTGTGAAAGAATGGTTGTGAGGAGCAAGAATCATTGTCACACAGGAATTGGCCCCTCTAATTAAACCAGACCTTAAATTCACTGAAAGTCTACTTTGGGATGTGCTGGAGGAGACTTTACAGAGCGTTGGTTGGACTCTTGCATTGTCAATACAAGATCTGGATAAAAAATTGATGCACCTCTTAATGCTGCTAGTAAACGCCCATTTCCAAACAGCAACCTTTTTTTTTTGGGGGGGGGGGGGGGGGGCAGTGCTGTGAATACAGATATATATATACACTCACCGGCCACTTTATTAGGTACACCTGTCCAACTGCTCGTTAACACTTAATTTCTAAGCAGCCAATCACATGGCGGCAACTTGCATTTAGGCATGAAGACATGGTCAAGACAATCTCTCCTGCAGTTCAAACCGAGCATCAGTATGGGGAAGAAAGGTGATTTGAGTGACTTTGAACGTGGCATGATTGTTGGTGCCAGAAGGGCTGGTCTGAGTATTTCAGAAACTGCTAATCTACTGGGATTTTCACGCACAACCATCTCTAGGGTTTACAGAGAATGGTCCGAAAAAGAAAAAACATCCAGTGAGCGGCAGTTCTGTGGGCGGAAATGCCTTGTTGATGCCAGAGGTCAGAGGAGAATGGCCAGACTGGTTCGAGCTGACAGAAGGGCAACAGTGACTCAAATAACCACCCGTTACAACCAAGGTGGGCAGAAGAGCATCTCTGAACGCACAGTACGTCGAACTTTGAGGCAGATGGGCTACAGCAGCAGAAGACCACACCGGGTGCCACTCCTTTCAGCTAAGAACAGGAAACTGAGGCTACAATTTGCACAAGCTCATCGAAATTGGACAATAGAAGATTGGAAAAACGTTGCCTGGTCTGATGAGTCTCGATTTCTGCTGCGACATTCGGATGGTAGGGTCAGAATTTGGCGTCTACAACATGAAAGCATGGATCCATCCTGCCTTGTATCAACGGTTCAGGCTGGTGGTGGTGGTGTCATGGTGTGGGGAATATTTTCTTGGCACTCTTTGGGCCCCTTGGTACCAATTGAGCATCGTTGCAACGCCACAGCCTACCTGAGTATTGTTGCTGACCATGTCCATTCCTTTATGACCACAATGTACCCAACTTCTGATGGCTACTTTCAGCAGGATAATGCGCCATGTCATAAAGCTGGAATCATCTCAGACTGGTTTCTTGAACATGACAATGAGTTCGCTGTACTCAAACGGCCTCCACAGTCACCAGATCTCAATCCAATAGAGCATCTTTGGGATGTGGTGGAACGGGAGAGTCGCATCATGGATGTGCAGCCGACAAATCTGCGGCAACTGTGTGATGCCATCATGTCAATATGGACCAAACTCCCTGAGGAATGCTTCCAGCACCTTGTTGAATCTATGGTAAAAGGGGGTCCAACCCGTTACTAACATGGGGTACCTAATAAAGTGGCCGGTGAGTGTATATATATATATATATATATATAAATTATAAACAAATTCGAATTAATATATGTTCTATATGAATATTATGTTCTGTCATAACAAGGTGAAAATTTAAGGCCGTATTTCTTATACGCAAAGGCAAATCCTCCAATACCATTCCAGGGGTCAGGCTATATTATATGCCATTTGCACTAATTTTGGAGCAGCTCATGAACAGACAATAAAAGTTACTCAGACAATTCAAATCATTTTGCAAGATAAATCCAGCATAATTGATAAATAGGCTTTAAAGTTTATGTCACTTTGTTTTATCTATTCAAATCACGTCAGAAATAATAGCAAAGACTGTCATAAAAAAGCTGGAAGCGAACCCTTCAGACACTCCAGCCCAAACTGTAAACTGCCATTCCCGTTTGTATATGAAGAGTTCAGATGCAAAAGCCTCTAAATGCCATTTGAAATTTTATTCTAAAATGTTCATTTTTATCAAGCTTATATATTCAAGTTTAGTAATTTCACTTAAATGACAATTAATAGGTAATCCTCATTGCAATTTAAGTGAAATTACTGAACTTAAATATACAAGCTTGATAAAAATGATCATTCTAGAAGAAAATTTCAAATGGCACTTAGAGGCTTTTGCATCTGAACTCTTCATATGCAGTGTTTGTTTAGTCCAGGATTCCCCAATCTCAGTCCTGGAGGGCCACTGTCCCAGCAGAGTTTAGCTCCAACCCTGATCAAACACACCTGAGCAAGCTAATCAAGGTCTTCAGGATCAGTAGAAATTCACAGGTGTGTTTGATCAGGGTTGGAGCAAAACTCTGCAGGGACAGTGGCCCTCCAGGAGCGAGTTAGTCTGTCATGGCACAAGGTGCGATATTTTAAAGTAACGTTTGATTTTATCAGTTTTACTCTCTGTAAATGCTTCCTGTCAGCTTACTTTGACGACCTGCAGCCAGGCACAACTACTACTCAAATATGTGGCTCTGCACTGAGCAGCACCACTTGGGAAATGTTGTCCCGGTCCGGTGGTCATCGTCCTTACTTTCTATTTGGCAAGTCTCTCTCTCTCTCTCACACACACACTTTTGGCTTATTGTTGCTGTTTTTTGTCCAACACTGCCCTCTCCTGACTGAATAATGTGTGACTGTTTTGATGTTTTTTAAGTGGTTTTAGATTAGAGCTGTTTAGAGCTAAACTAATTATTCTGATTGTGTAGAGCTAAACTAATTATTCTAAATGTGTTATTTTTTTTCTACTGCCTATCATGCTGTGAAAACAAATTCATTGAAGACATGTGTAAAGAACAAAGTTTATTCATTCAGATTTTCTTTATATTCAGAAAAAAAATGGCAGACATCTTCAACAATCAAGTCTTTGTAAGCATCAGTCAAACACACTGGTCCATATCAGGGTCTCTAACACTGTTCAACATGCTTTCATACGCACACACGCACACGCACACACACACACACACACACACACACACGTTCTATCTCAGGCTGTTGCTGTTGGTTTGAGATCCAGTAAGACCAGGATGATCAGGACTGTGTCGATTCTGAGAAAAAGAGGGTAAAGCAGATGTTTCAAAATCATGCACAGAACATATTGGGATCTACAAATGAGACTGTTCAAGTCAGTTTGCAATGGCTAGCAAGATTCTAGGCAAAATATTCTCCAGCGTATGGATGTGGTTTGGCTGGCATTCCCCCCCCCAAATGTTATTGATATCGAAGTTTATGTATTTATGCATTAAATATCGTATTTTTTATTATAGTATTATTTATATACTATTAAAGCATATACATTAAATATTTATTCACGTTTTTAATGTATTTATATTATTTTTAGTATGTTTTATTTTTGTTTTTATTTTTAATTTGGTTTTAATTTTAGTACTTAAACCTTTATTTTGTTTGTTTGTTTTATCTAATTTTTATATCCTTATTTCTCATTTTATTTTTAGTTTTTTAATCTAATATTTTTACTTTAGCTTTACAACCATTAATGGAAACATTTGTAGTTGTTTTAGTTAACAGTAACACTTATTATATTTTATATATATATATATAAAATCACTTAATTCTTTACAAAGCTGTAACAAATATGTACAATCAGAAAGTGCATTTACACATTGATTAAACTGGCAGAATTAAAGCTAAATATACACATTATGAATATAAATGAACAAATGAAAATATGAAATGACAAAATCTGCAACTTTAAATTATGAAATAAATACTCTTGCATGACAAGGGAAAAGTTTAAGGCTGCATCTCATTTACACAGAAGCTAAGCCGCCTCCAAAGTTTGTATTTATACATGAATTACTACTGTATTTATTTATAAAAAAATATATAGTCTGTCCTAGACCCAATCTTGCTCAAAAGTACTTTGCCAGCTGGACTGTTGTAAGCTTTTCCTGACGTTCTGCTCAATCTCATACCTTTTTTTTCTTTTTGTCTTTCTTTTTCTTCTTGCGATCAGGGTCATCATCCCTCTTTTTCTTCTTCTTCTTGGGATCTAATTCTGAAGGGGTTTCTGCACAGGAAAACACAGGTAAAGGCCAAGTTAATGCATGCACATATGCGCAAAAACTATCAGCATGTGAAAATTTCTCGGGTTAGTACATCACCTGGTGGTAGAGGATCCTGCGGCCGATGATGTCTGTGTTTGTGTTTGCTCTTTTTCTTTGGCGGCTGTATGTGCATCAGTCTGTATTGCTCTGGAAGCTACAGCACACACAAACACTATAAACATGAAGCTTTAAGATGTTTAAACAATATGCTGTCTAGGCATGCAGCTCACTACTTGTGAACTAGTTTACCGGGCCAGTGTGTAGTCTAAATCCAGTGAGTAGAGCTCCTGTCAGTGGACTGAAAGAGTTTCCACAGACCGGATTTTTTTCTATGAGAGAGCGCAGAGAGCTGCCATCTTGAACCCCTGGACAGTCTATCATACCTGCAAGTGAGAGAACACATCTTAATGGCAAAATACTATAATAACAACACTAAGGTATCAAGCTTGTATATTTAAGTTCAGTGATTTCACTTAAATGGCAATGAAGATTACCTATTAATTGTCATTTAAGTGAAATTACTGAACTTAAATATACAAGCTTGATAAAAATGGTCATTTTAGAAGAAAATTTCAAACGGCATTTAGAGGCTTTTGCATCTGAACTCTTCAAATGTCAAAACCATTTGTGGCAAGATCTTTCACGGAATTCATTGGGTATTATTATGCATCTCTCTCTCAATTGCTTTACCTGGTAACTCTGGTAGGAAGTTGCTCAGTTTCTCCTTCACTTTCTTGCCGCAGAATTTATTATACGCGTGTTCCAGGTTATAGTGCGTGATCAGGTTCGTGTTTCCCGTCAGGTCGTTTCCAACTGAAACAAAACAAACACAAGAGCTGATCCAGATGCAGTATATCATGTTACATAACATTGTTACAAATCACACACATGTACTCGAAGGTCTTCTTAAACACATCAGAAGTATTTACCAGGCAGTTCTCGTAGTAAATAGAAAGGTTCGTTCATGGCTCCAGGTTTTCGCAGTGTAGGCCCCTCATCCCCGTGCTGTGCTGGAATCTGAGCCGCCACAGGCGCTTGGTTGGGCGGCATAGGCGGCGGAGGTTTTCCGGGGGCGAACCCCAAAGCCGCTGGCCCCGTGGGTGGCTGTGCATCGTTTTGTCCGAACAAAGATGAAAATATTTCCGTCATAACTACTGGAATTAAGTCATTTATATAATTTTATAAAACTAAGTTCAAATAAAAAGGCCAGAACTGCTGCCAGTCACACGGTGCTTGTACTGTGTTCATCAAGCAGCTCTCTCACATTATCAACAACAGCGGTACCATAATGACACTATCACAAACGCACTCAATTTTATTAAAGGGATAGCTGACTCAAAAATGTTTTATGATGTTAATACTTTGCCCTCATGTTGTTTTATACCTGTCTGAGTTTCAGTTTCTTCTGCTGAACATAAAAGAAAATATTTTAAAGAATTGTTAGCGGACAGTTTCGCGCTTTCGGCACCCATTGACTTCCATAGTAGAAACAAATGGAACATTGCAAACTTAAAAGATCTCAATGGGCTTTTTAATAAAATAATTTGAAGCATGTATTATTTATTTTTATTTTTAAAGACCATAACATGCTTGTGGGCTGTATTCTCAAATAATAACCAGAGTTTTGCACAAATTTCCACCAATATTACAGCTCTTTATAAATGCAATATTATTATTAAAACTGGTAACATAGCACTGTCAAAATTATCCATATTTCAATAGCAATAATAATTGTAGATATTTTCTATTTAAATATTACAATCTTGTCCATTGGAATGATTCTCTTTTGAATACTACAGTAACAGCAAATTATGTATTTTTCATTTATTCTTTAACACCGAGACAAATGAAACATAACTCATAAAAAGTGCATGAAATGTTTAATGAATAGAGTATACACATACTAATGGCATGTAATAACACAATAAACCATGCAGATGCACAGTAAGTTCATACTCAAGCTTCACTTAATCCAAAAAAGAGAGAGAAAAAGATATTTAGACTGTGGATGTTAGAGAGACCCAAAGTTTTCAGATGAGGAAAGAGTCGAAACAAATGGCTCCAGATCTTCAAGAGATGCCTGCAGGTGGAGAAGAAGAGGTAAAGCTGAATCTGTGGTAACATACAGCAATGGAAATGTTTGAGTGTCTCAAGGAAATCAGTTTTTCCTCTTACCCTCCATTCCTCCACGCCTGAGGCAATGCGCTGCTCTGTGTGTGTGATGTTGTCTCGGCCGGCCTGCACCTTCTGAGCAAGAGCAGCGTTCTCCTTCTGGAGTTTCTTCAGCTGGATCCGCATGTACTCCTCCTGCTTCTTATAATATGACACTAAATCACAGCACACATCCTGCTCTGGAACACCACTTGGGCGCCTGCAATACATGAAGGTTCAAAACCAAGCAAAAATCTATTAGTTCATAGCAGATGATAGATAATAAACCCATTTGTACCAGGTGCATTTTTGACATGACACTCCACAATTGTTTGAGGCTGTCTACACTAGAGACATCAAAGGAAACATCAGACCTGGTACATTTGTCTTTCTGAAAAAGCGAATGATGTTGTATTGAACCGTCCATCATAGCAGCGCAATGCCCCGTTCGCGTTCATGAGTCCCGTTTAATCATTGTAGGTCTATATTCTGTGAATTTTTGCTTTCTCTTCTGTACCCAAAAGCTAAACGTCTTTTTTAATGCCTCAGTCATGGTCTCACAGTGGCTAAAGACCCTTTGGCTCCGCCTGCTACAGTAGCCACGCCCCAAACTCACACTATTGGTTGAGCTGGACAGTGATTGACGAATCTGAGCGGACCGCTCTCAATGTTTAGTGATAACTGGGAAGCTCAATGTTTTCACATTTGGGGGAGACAAACCCATGAATGTCATACTAATATTAGTCCATGAACAATAAACTTGGTTACTATAATATATGCAAAATTAATCTAACATGCCTCCCCTTTAATTTAAGGCATTAAAAAAAAAGTAAATATTTGAAAATTCAACTTAACCAACAAGAGGGTCTAATTGGAAACCTGAGGGAATCAACTGGCTACTTAACAAACTTTACAAATGGGCCTGATTTGTACCAAGAACTTGTACCGAAGCTATTTTCATGGTAAGAGCTACTGAACAGAGTTACACAAGAGCTGCATAAAAGGAATAAAAACACAAACCAAACAAAAAAGAAATCATATAAAGATGCAGCAGTTAAGAATGACACAAGATAAAAAAAAAAAAATCTGGTAAAAATGTGCTAAAAAAAGTCCTTAAGTGAACGTACTAAATAAAAATGTTGTGTACTTGCATTAAAAGCAGGACAATTATTTGGCATCAGACAATATGCTGAGATTCTTTTTCTTTAAAAATCCAGATAGATTTTTTTTTTAATTCAGAGTAAATTGATCAAACCCATACAATCAGATTTCTATTGTATAATAAATTGTCTGCAAACCAGGTAGTTCAAACCAAGAAAAATGAAAATTCTGTCATAATTTACTCACTATTGAGTGTCATTCTCCTGCTGATATTTTGGAAAATGTTGACCTCCATAGTATTTGTTTGTCTACAGTGGAAATCATTGGGTGTCGTCAACTGTCTGGTTACCAGTATTCTTATTTTGTGTTGAACAGAAGAAAGAAACTCACACAGATTTGGAAGAACTTGAGGGTGAGTACATGATGACAGCATTTTCATTTCTGGGTGAACTATCCCTTTAAGAGTTAAAAGGAATTAGCTCCACAGTCCACATATTGTGTTGTATATCGTTACTGTTAAAAAAAAAGGAGGCACTGTTTCCCCCATACACATTATACATACCTATAGACGATACATAACTGTATATATCTATTTTCTATCATGTTCCCGTTTTATTGTAGGAATAATGCCTCTTTGGTTATTGTGTGTATTGTAGAAACAAGAGTCAGGAGAGCATCAGTCCGTGAACTCACCATGCAGCTTGTGGCGTGTCTTTAGCAAGCTCCTCCAGTTTGTCCAACTCTTCAAGCTTCACCTGCAGGTCGCCCTCCTCAATCACAGTGGCAATTTCTTTCTAAACACATCACCAACACAAAACATGATTAGAATGATTGCTACTAAAACTGTGCACAGATACACAGCTAATGTAAAGCAACATTGAGATCAAATAAACTGCTGAATTACCCCCATGTAACCCCCAAACTGTTGTGAGATATGTGTAGATAATGTGACTTAAGACTGTCAAGAATGTGTGGGGGGATTAAGTTAGATTTTGCATTAAGAAATTAGAAAATGAATCCCATTTTAGGACCGTCAAGATGCCGTGAATAAGGGTGGAATCATGGGAGTTGTCGTCTTCACCTCCACAGCCGATTGAAAGCAGTCCGATGATGGGACTCATGCAGAAATTGTGTTCATCGGTGAGCTAATATATCAAAGTTTTATTAACATCACTGTGCTATAAAGAAGGGCGGAGAGAGAGCCTGGGACATTTACCTTGCTGTTTTTATTAAGCTTAAATGCCTCACAATTTGAGTCCACCCCTGAACTTGAACTTTGTTATGTTTGAACACTTAAATAAACATTTTTTTATTTCCTTCTAATGAAACAGTCGCAAGTGCTGAATTTCTACGCACACAGGCCACTTTACATGAGGAATTTAAAATGTGGTCAAAACAATCACACAAAAAATACATTTGAGTGTGTGAAAGTTATAAAGTTACTCTGTGCATTTGCTCGGCGGCTGCTATAGTAAGTAAACTAGATCAATATTAGAATATCATATGAATAAGCTGGATGGCTTGTGTTCCTAGATGGAACGCAATTCATTTAAAAATATATAGTATGGAGGAGAAAATGCTGTATTATCCTAACTACAAATTAAGCTCTTTCTGATTATGTTATATTATTTGTTTAGTTAGTTAACAGGGACATCGCACATTAATAACACATTTCTGTAAATACACCACAATCAGCCAAAGGCTATTGTTCATCTGTAGTCCTTGGACATAATGTTACAAGTCACCCTGGAAAGAAATATGTGGTTAAAAATACACACTAGTACAATTTAATAAAACAACAAGACAATCCATAAAAACAATAAGATTAAATATGACGTCATTGACGGGCGTCTAAATGACAAGAGCCGTTCAAAGACGTCTACGGATATTAGATACGGATATATATAACGTTACATATTAGACGTTCTCTGGGCCGTTACACTGGTTAAAATATATAATACCGGTACACACAATATGTAATGTGCGTGCATTAACGTTACCTGTACTAAAGTCTGCAGTTGGCTGATGAACTGTTTGTGCATGGCTTCCGTCAGCTGAGGGTTTTGCTTTGACAGTGGCTGGAAACAGTGGGAAAACCTATCGAAACTGACACAGAGTGCAACTAACTTTAAACAATGAAGCAACTTATTAATAACAGATAACAAAAACAACCAGTCTGAAATTGAATGCGAATTAAGTGAATGCATCCGGGTTACCTGGCGTTGTCCAGCAGCCACTGCAGACTCTTCTCCATCACTTTACTGAAGAGCTTGAGTCTCGGTTTGGACTGAGATGACTTCACCGAATCATTGCGACGAGTCGATGCTTCTGACGAAACATCACCGACTTTATCCGCATTATTTTGAGCTGGAACAGATTCGCTGCTCTTCTCGGACTCCTCCATGTTACTGCCTAGCTGTTGATATTTACAAAACTACCCGCCAACAACACGCGCGTCACACTACGGAAAGCGAGCAGCTGCCAGTTCAAGTCGTTTTCTCGAAACGCGTTTATCTGGTCTGAAGGTTCATATTACCGCACTCACCCCCTCAGCTGTCTTATGATCTATTTCTACCCTTCCCTTCTCTTTCCTTTACCACATGGGGGTTGGTTTTTACTACGGCTGCAGCAATGAGTTTAATTAGAGGCCTTGTTTCCACTTTATACTATATTCCAAAGATTTATAAATGGTTTTATCGGCCATATTACCTGCTGTCACTGCTGATGACCCTGGCGTTTCCACTCGTGCGTCGCTGTCCGGGACTGTGCGAGCATTTGCCCTCTCAGAGAGAAGACAACAACTCATGCGCCTTCGACTGGGTCAGTGCTGCAGCTCAGAGACACTCACTGGGAAAGCCTAAGGAAACTGTCATACTCAACTAACCTAACTTTATTGCAGCTTAATAACACTTTACACTTACAGAAAAGTAACATACTGACATGTTATTGGACCTTACAGCTGCATGCTGTGCTGTCTGTCCCTGTAAATAAAACAAAACACAATATCTTCTAAGGGTATTCTAAAGCCTAAAAATATCATTGCATGCATGTGTTCGTTTTTGTCAGGATTCATTGATGAGTCAATAGTAGCCTAATGTGTCCAGACTTATATTATATAGCCCAAGTGTTTATTATTTGTATCATTGCTCCTTATAGAGGGAGGTGGAGATTTTAATGTTTCTCAGTGCCATTGTCATGATGAAGAACCGCAGAGCCAGTAAGTTTAGATCAAGATGTTCATGAAAAATGTGTACATCGATGGTGCTTTATTTGAATTGAGGATTGATCTCTTTCCCTCTCAGTAACAGTGGAGCAACACATAGGGAATATATTTATCTTCAGTAAGGTGGCGAACGTGGTGCTGTTCTTCCGAGTGGACCTGAGACTTGGCCTTCTCTACCTCACGCTGTGTGTGGGTAAGTATGACACACTTGGAAATAGTCACGAGTACACATGTGATTCGGAAAATAAGAGTATTACGTACCTAATTCTGTGATGTGCGACATTACCCTTCTGATACTGTGCCTTTTCTATGCAGTGTTCTTGATCACTTGTAAACCACCGATCCACATGGGCCCCGAGTACATCAAATACTTCAGTGACTCAACTATAGATGTGAGTGGAATTCAGTCAGACTTCAGTGTATTTGACCAATATCTTCTTTTGTATGTTGATATGCACTCAAAAACTTCTGCTTTTTAATTAAAATTTTGTAACACTTTACAATATGGGTGCACTAATATACATTAATTAATACTTAACTAATGCACAGATAATCATGAGTTAATATATAACTCATGAAGAACTAAACCATAATGATTAATGATTACTGCATCAGCAACTAATAAAGAGTCTATATGATTAATAGATGAAGTAATACATGAATTGCTATTAATTCAATGTGTCATTGTGTATTAATTCCTTAATAACATATTTTATGTAAGCAATAAGGTACAAGAGGCTGTGCTGTATCGTGAATAAGTAACGGCTGAAGGGCGTTGTTAGGCACGACGTGAAGCGGAGTACCTCGAGTACCTTATTGCTTTTATAAAACGGTTGCCACACAATATTAAAGTAAAAGCAATGTATTAGTGCAACTTTCTTGAAGTAAAATCACTAAAAGCCTTCTTCCGCTAGAAAAAATAGTCCCTGAGCGTGAACAGCAACAACGTTCCAATGTGTAAAATGCATGAAAGCTCAAATAAAAACAACATACAACCGCAGTGTTGCGCAGCGATCAATAGATCCGTTGTGTGAAGCGGTCATTGTCGTGTTTTATTGTGAATAAAGCACAGCTCCTGACCAATCAGAATCAAGGATTTGAACTAACCGTTTTATAATACGTATAAAAATAGTATAAAACACTATTATTTTTATTAACTAATAGTGTAAATTAATGCGTTAATTACCACAAATAGTCAAAGCTATGCACTTCAACTTCCAATTGTCTGCTTTAATTAATCATCAGCTAATGATTTGCAAAGGTATCATTATGTTATGACTTTACTTGTTGGGGCACATCATTATTAACTAGTCATTTAGTAACTGTAGTAAATTGCACATGAATTTGCACTAACAATGAAGTAATTAATCATGTATTGATGCATATTAGTGTACCTGTCATATGACCTGGAAGTTGAAATGCAAGGCTTTGGCTCATTCTGGTTATTAACATATTAATTAACACTATTTGTTAAAAAATGAGTTATTATGGAATTAATCCACAATTACATATTTAATTAATAACAATTCATGTGAACTAATACATTAACCTTATAGACTCTTAATTAGTTCCTAATGTGGTAATCAATAATTAATAATCATTAGTTATACATTAGTATTATTAGTATTAGTTAAGCATGAATTGACGCTTATTAGTGCCCGTATTGTAAAGTGTTACCGAAAGTTTTAATGTTTCTATTCTTGTTTTGTATTAAAACAAGCATTGAGATGTTTTTTCCCCTTTTCAGTGTAATCATTTGTAATTTCAGACACTTGGACTATGAAATTTGCCATAATTCTTGTCCATTCCCGATACAATTTTTTATATATATCACACGTTACTGATCGAAAGTAGCCATACAAGTCATCTCACATTACATTGCAGTTGTCAGGATCCAGTGATCTGTGTCATGTCTTATTTCGAAATTTGCAATTCATGCGTTCATGTTCATTTGTTGTTCTATCCATGGTCTTAGTTATTTTGCTCTTTGTGTTTAGTTGTTCCCTGTTATCATGTTTCAGTTAGCTATTTGAAATTGTATATTTCAAACTATTTGTGTGTATATGCCTTTCATGGTTAATGTTGTTACGGGTCAATTTCAAGAGCTACGTCTCATGTCATGTGTCCCACGGTCAAGTCATGGATATGTATCACATTTTGAACCATTAAACACATTTTTATCTGCATATAGATCCAGATTCTTTGATTTTTGAGGCCATGTTACAGTAGTATTGTCACAGTCCTCCGTCTGCACCAGTCTGTCTTGTCTTCAGCACTACACTTCCCAGGATCCTCTCGTCACCCTATCCCGTGTGCACTCCCTCATCAGCCACCTGTTCCTCGTCATCATCATCTGTTTCACCTGTTCTCACCCCATTATGTTTGATTATTCTGTGTATTTAGTTCCCTCTGTTTTATCCTATGATTGTCGGTCGTTGTTTATGTTACCCTGTGTTCCGCCTGCCTGTATCCTGTTATTTATGATTAAAACCTTTTCGTATTGGAGCTTTCTGGACTCTGCCTGTTCGTCCTTCTGCCTGAACCCGCACCCGTGACAGAACGACCGACCACAAACCTACAAGGATGGACGACCAGATGGAGGCTTTCCTCTTCGATCAGAGGGGGGCCTCTTTGGAGGAGTTTGTGGAGGTTTATCTGCACCTACACCAGGACATATACTGGGAGGAAGATTTTCTGAGACTACGGTTCTGGAGAGGTTTGGACGACCCATTAGACCAAATTCTGCTGCTCGAGGACCTCCATCTGCCGTTGTTCGAGTTGTTGGACAGGGCCCTTTGGGTCTGTGGTTCGTCCCTTACAGTCACACCAGTCCAGCCCGAGTCCAGTCCTCCCGAGCATGACCTCCCGTTTCGGCGCCCCCGCTGGATGCTTGTCCCCAGAAAGCCTGCGCTCACCGTCAGCCCTGCCGAGCCTGCGCTCACCGTCAGCCCTGCCGAGCCTGCTCTTCACCGCTGGTTCCGTCCAGCTCTCCAGAGATTGAATGCTCTTCACCGCTGGTTCCGTCCAGCTCTCCAGAGATTGAATGCTCTTCACCGCTGGTTCCGTCCAGCTCTCCAGAGACTGAATGCTCTTCCCCGCTGGTTCCGTCCAGCTCTCCAGAGATTGAATGCTCTTCGCCGCTGGTTCCGTCCAGCTCTCCAGAGATTGAATGCTCTTCACCGCTGGTTCCGTCCAGCTCTCCAGAGACTGAATGCTCTTCACCGCTGGTCCCGTCCAGCTCTCCAGAGTCTGAATGCTCTTCGCCGCTGGTCCCGTCCAGCTCTCCAGAGATTGAATGCTCTTCACCGCTGGTTCCGTCCAGCTCTCCAGAGTCTGAATGCTCTTCGCCGCTGGTCCCGTCCAGCTCTCCAGAGATTGAATGCTCTTCACCGCTGGTCCCGTCCAGCCCTCCAGAGACTGTATGCTCTTCACTGCTGGTTCCGTCCAGCTCACCAGAGAATGATTGCTCTTCACTGCTGGTTCCATCCAGCCCACCAGAGACTGAATGCTCTTCACTGCTGGTTCTGTCCAGTTCACCAGAGAATGAATGCTCTTCACTGCTGGTTCCGTCCAGCTCACCAAAGAATGAATGCTCTTTACTGCTGGTTCCGTCCAGATCACCAGAGAATGAATGCTCTTCACTGCTGGTTCCGTCCAGCCCACCAGAGACTGAATGCTCTTCACTGCTGGTTCCGTCCAGCTCACCAGAGAATGCATGCTCTTCACTGCTGGTTCCGTCCAGCTCACCAGAGAATGAATGCTCTTCACTGCTGGTTCCGTCCAGCTCACCAGAGAATGCATGCTCTTCACTGCTGGTTCCGTCCCACTCACCAGAGAATGAATGCTCTTCACTGCTGGTTCCGTCCAGCCCACCAGAGACTGAATGCTCTTCACTGCTGGTTCCGTCCAGCTCACCAGAGAATGAATGCTCTTCACTGCTGGTTCCGTCCCACTCACCAGAGAATGAATGCTCTTCACTGCTGGTTCCGTCCCACTCACCAGAGAATGAATGCTCTTCACTGCTGGTTCCGTCCAGCCCTCCAGAGAATGAATGCTCTTCACTGCTGGTTCCGTCCCACTCACCAGAGACTGAATGCTCTTCACTGCTGGTGAATGCTCTTCACTGCTGGTTCCGTCCCACTCACCAGAGAATGAATGCTCTTCACTGCTGGTTCCGTCCCACTCACCAGAGAATGAATGCTCTTCACTGCTGGTTCCGTCCAGCTCACCAGAGACTGAATGCTCTTCACTGCTGGTTCCGTCCAGCTCACCAGAGAATGAATGCTCTTCACTGCTGGTTCCGTCCCACTCACCAGAGAATGAATGCTCTTCACTGCTGGTTCCGTCCCACTCACCAGAGAATGAATGCTCTTCCCTGCTGGTTCCGTCCAGCCCTCCAGAGAATGAATGCTCTTCACTGCTGGTTCCGTCCCACTCACCAGAGAATGAATGCTCTTCACTGCTGGTTCCGTCCCACTCACCAGAGAATGAATGCTCTTCACTGCTGGTTCCGTCCAGCCCACCAGAGACTGTATGCTCTTCACTGCTGGGTCCGTCCAGCTCACCAGAGAATGAATGCTCTTCACTGCTGGTTCCGTCCAGCTCACCAGAGAATGAATGCTCTTCACTGCTGGTTCCGTCCAGCCCACCAGAGACTGAATGCTCTTCACTGCTGGTTCCGTCCAGCCCTCCAGAGACTGAATACTCTTCACTGCTGGTTCCGTCCAGCTCTCCAGAGACTGTATGCTCTTCACTGCTGGTTCCGTCCAGCTCACCAGAGAATGAATGCTCTTCACTGCTGGTCCTGTCCAGCCCTCCAGAGAATGACTGCTCTTCACTGCTGGTTCCGTCCAGCCCTCCAGAGACTGAATGCTCTTCACTGCTGGTTCCGTCCAGCCCTCTAGAGACTGAATACTCTTCACTGCTGGTTCCGTCCAGCTCTTCAGAGACTGTACGCTCTTCACTGCTGGTTCCGTCCAGCCCTCCAGAGACAGTATGCTCTTCACTGCTGGTACCGTCCAGCCCTCCAGAGACTGAACGCTCTTCACTGCTGGTTCCGGCCAGTCCTCCAGAGACTGAATGCTCGGCACTGCTGGTTCCGTCCAGTCTCTCCGAGCCCGAGCTCTCTCCGTCGCCGGGTCCTACCAGCCCAGCCCCAGAGACCGTCCAGCCTGTGCCGGAGACCGTGCAGCCTGCTTCGCCCTGGCCACGCCCTCAGCCTGCTCCGCCCTGGCCACGCCCTCAGTCTGCTTCGCCCTGGTCTCGCCCTCAGCCTGCTCCGCCCTGGCCACGCCCTCAGCCTGCTCCGCCCTGGCCACGCCCTCAGCCTGCTCCGCCCTGGCCACGCCCTCAGCCTGCTCCGCCCTGGCCACGCCCTCAGCCTGCTCCGCCCTGGCCACGCCCTCAGTCTGCTTCGCCCTGGTCTCGCCCTCAGCCTGCTCCGCCCTGGTCTCGCCCTCAGCCTGCTCCGCCCTGGCCACGCCCTCAGCCTGCTCCGCCCTGGCCACGCCCTCAGCCTGCTCCGCCCTGGTCTCGCCCTCAGCCTGCTCTGCCCTGGCCACGCCCTCAGCCTGCTCCGCCCTGGCCACGCCCTCAGCCTGCTCCGCCCTGGCCACGCCCCTCTCAGGCCCCAGTTCGTCCCCCCTCCTTCCTCTGTTCAGCGGCGTGAGGTCACGCCTCCCGGGAGGGGGGAGTTCTGTCACAGTCCTCCGTCTGCACCAGTCTGTCTTGTCTTCAGCACTACACTTCCCAGGATCCTCTCGTCACCCTATCCCGTGTGCACTCCCTCATCAGCCACCTGTTCCTCGTCATCATCATCTGTTTCACCTGTTCTCACCCCATTATGTTTGATTATTCTGTGTATTTAGTTCCCTCTGTTTTATCCTATGATTGTCGGTCGTTGTTTATGTTACCCTGTGTTCCGCCTGCCTGTATCCTGTTATTTATGATTAAAACCTTTTCGTATTGGAGCTTTCTGGACTCTGCCTGTTCGTCCTTCTGCCTGAACCCGCACCCGTGACAAGTATAAACTCTGCTAATACTATGAATTTTTTTATGTATTTAATTTAATGTCATGTTATGCCATGAACTGAAACTAATGTGCACATTATTCTACACAATGTCAGGAAGAACTGCAAAGGGACGGCCGTGAGACATGGATTGTTGAGTTTTATGCCAACTGGTCTCCAGAGTGTCAGTCATTTGCCCCCATTTTTGCTGACCTGTCACTCAAGTAAGTCACACTACTAACACACACATCTACTCTCAATGAGGTTTATGACTTTGCCTGTGTTCAACAGATATAGCTGCTTAGGACTCAAATTTGGAAAAGTGGACATTGGACAATACGGAGCAGTTGCCGAGAGGTAAAGTAATCTTTATTTCTCTTCAAAGTCAGCATGAAACAGAAGTAGCAATCGTCTTTTCTTCCCTATATTGTGACGTATATCCAACTTTGATATGGATTCTCGAACAATGAACAAATGACTTTTGTCCATGGGGAATTGATTGGATGGTTTGCTATTGGTGGATCTGATGTGAGTGACAGGTTGCCCCGCCCTCGTGCCAGTAAACACATCATCAGAGAAGAGATGACGCAACAAGAGAGATTGAAAGCTACTTTGATTAAAGATTACGAGGGCACATGAATTATAAAAAACAAATGATAGGCACAGATGATAAATACTGCAATATTACATAGATAAAAAAATCTGTCCATTTTCGATTTGGCCTAAACCTCAACATATTTTTGGCAACAGTCTTGTTAAGAGATGTATCTTGCTATACTAGTTATAAATAAAGACGACACTGACAGTCCTGTGCTCTCATTCCAGGTATAAGGTAAACCCATCGCCTCTCTGCAAGCAACTGCCCTCCCTGTTGCTACTGCAGGGTGGCCGAGAACTCATGCGACGCCCTCTGGTGGACAAGAAGGGATGGGCCGTTGGGTGGAGCTTCACTGAGGTAACACTCTGAAGATATACAGAGCGATTGGTTATTCTTCTCTAAAACATTCGCTTGTGTGTTTTACAGGAAAATATCATTCGAGAGTTCAACCTCAATGAGATATTCCAAAAATATAAGAAATTGAGCAAAGGTGAGAAGTCTGAGGAACCAAAGCCACCCCTGAGGGAGGATCCAGAAGAAGAGGAGCTAGTCGGCCCTCATGAGGAAGAGGAGGAGGAGCCTGAGAGCAAAAAAGACAAATGAGACACAGAACTGAACTGACACATGACTTCAGCATCATGAACCCAACACACACGTTCTCCCTTTTAACAGGGAAAACTTTTCCTGCTCAGTTTAACTGCGACTTTTAGTTGGAAAACAATCTAAAAGGTATGACATTCAACACATAAACCTGCAATTTGCAAAGAGCCGTGTATGCTTTCATATATCACATTGTGACCTCTGGCTTTTATAGTAAATGTATTTAGTACAGTTTGAACTAGGCCTCTTTGCATTCATTTATTTTTTGCACATACAAGGACAATCATTTTTAAACTGCATTATTCTCTTGGTCAGGGTGGTACTGCAGGGGGTTTGCCAATCACTGTTTGATCTAAAGAATATATTAGGCTTTAAACAAAAACAAAATATTAAGTTAACTTCCACCAAAGATAACATCCTGTCCGTGATTATATAATGCCAGCATCATAAATCCACGAAGATGACATTATACGCGTTTTATAGGCCATTTAAAATGTAACAGTCAGTTTTACTAACTGGACGTCCCTGATTCATCTCTCAATCCACCAAGGAGTTCTTGGCCTTGAAATGGTCGAACACTCCTGACTCAGGCTTTATTTTATGCTACATTTGCTTTTGAGGTTGAAAGGTTTAAAACTGCTGAGTAAATCATGTTTGTTCGAGCATTAGTTATTCCTACTGATATTTCGGAGTCTTAAATGAACATCCCAAAAATGAACATCACTTATTCATAGCCATGTCTTTCAAAATCAAAACCCATATGATTTTTGATAGATTACAATATTTTGGGTGAACTTTCCCTTTAAATTGAGCAGCAAATCCAATCAACACACTATAATGAGGGAATTCCAGCAACCTCATATGAAGTTCATTATTGAAATCTCCTTAACGTTAATAACACAATCAAAGCTCTAGTGCTTTCTTTATTTACCTTGTTTACGGTATGGGATGAAATCAGTTTCATACGCCATGATATTCAGCATGAGCAATGAAACATTAAATTAATTAAAAATGACAGCAAAAACATTTATAATGTTACAAAAGATGTCTATTTCAAATTAATGCTTTTCAGTCAACTTCCAATTCATCATAGAATCCGGGAAAAAAAAATATGTATCACAGTTTCCACAAAAACATGAAGCAGCACAACCATTTTCAACATTGATTGTAAGAAGAAATGTTTCTTGAGCAGCAAATCATCATATTAGAATGATTTCTGGCAGATCATGTGACACTGAAAATTCAGCTTTGCATTACAGAAATAAATTACATTTTAAATAAAATATATTAGAAAAGCAGTTATTTTAAATTGTAATGATATTTAACAATATTACTGCTGATTTGTTGATTAATAAAAGCAGCCTTGGTGAGCATAAGAGAACTCTTTATAAAACATAAAATAATAAATCACAATTATTTTACACTTTTGATCAGTAGGCTATGAAACAATGTTTCCTGTGCACAGCTTCAAAAAAGACAACAATCCTCCCTGTCTGAGCCCATCTGTATTAGTCTCTGTGTTATGTACTGTAAATGAGCCAATCTCTCTCTCTCTCTCTCTCTCTCTCTCTCTCTCTCTCTTTCTATTGACTTGCGAATCTTTTATTTGTGAGTCTTATTATTTGCTCCCGTTTGCCTCTGAAGCCTGGAGAGAGGGGTCTGAGTAAGTGCGCTCCAATACTGTAGCATTATGGCTCCTGGCAGACAGTGTGTTGGCACGGCCGAGGACACAGAGACAGATTGAGGCTGACACAGCAGACCTTCACTTGGCGAATGGCTGGCACTGCCTGCTGCGCGGATCAGAGCAGGCCTCTATGACTCCATTGGGGGGGCCTGTCACCCTTTTGGAGAAAAAAAAGGAGTGCTGTTCAGTTCCGGCTGCAGGGTGGTAACAACAACAGCGGAAGATGTTTGGAAATCCTTCACAGTTTGATGCCATATTCTAAATGTCATGGAGCCAAGTGTCTCACAAAGAAAATGGGGCATTTATGAAGGACTCTTTAGAGTGTCAAACCTGATTTGAGTGGCAAGGATAAAGGGATATTTTCCTCTTTGGTTATTAATGGTAAAAACAGTTGCGCTGCTAAAAAAAATTGTGCATTTTTTTCAGCATTCTTATAGACATTTTTCAAAGGAACAGCAGTTATTTGAAATAGAAAACTTTTGTAACAATGAAAATGTCTTTACTGACATTTTCAATTAATTTAAGGCACCTTAAAAAATATCTTACTGACCCTGAATGTTTAAATGGATAAATGTGCAGTATTTAAAATGTTGACTACAAAATGGCGCTAGTTAGCCTACTTTGAAACAAAGAAGAGCAATTCCTGTTGCAATAGGAGACAATCGATTTTTTTGTAATGTACACTATTCTACTTGATGTAAAAGGCCCCCTGGAAATAATAATAATTATATAAAAATAAAGAAGTAGCGCCGGCTTCAGTTACAACATTGAACGAATTATCTGACTGCTGAAAAAAGCTCTGACTGCTGGGTGTTTTTTTTTTGTTTTTTTTTTTCATTTTTTACACGGAGGCAATAATTGTATCGTTTTCAAAAACTTCAACTTTGCAAACCGTTTTCAACGGCATTGTCGTGTAAATTAACGGCCAAAACTCATAAAAAGCTTTACGCTTAGTTGATAACGCTTGTTGACATTCAAACTAAAAGTTCGAGAAAACGAATTAATTTCATTAATTTAGCATTCATTAATTTTAGACATTCCATTTAGCAAACTTTATTTGAACTTTGTTTTTGAACGTTCTCATTCTGAAACAAAGCTAATTTTAAAAAACTAACATTTAAGAAAATTCAATGTTCCATGAAATCATGTTTGTGCTAACATTTTGAGAACATTATTAAAGACCAGACAACTTTGAATGACCATTCTATTGACGTTATCCACAAGTTTCCTACGCCCCATGAGGCCTTGCGTCAAAAGTGGGCGCGACTTCCGGTTCGAAGTAAACAAAGCGCGATTTGACATGGTTGACACTGGTTCATTCAACAGTTGACGGTCATTCAAGTTATAGCGATCCAAACTAGCTAACGATGTGGGAACACAACCTCAACGAAATTCAAAAGGGTCAAATAACAGTACCTTTACCCTCCGCAGTAGTTGATTGGGAGTATTATAATAACATTATTAATAATCAATACTCATCAAGGCATGGTGACAGACAGTTGTGTGAGCAGCTGACAAACAATTAAAATAAAAAATACACACTTAGTCATTGTGCTTTGGAGTTTATTCAAAATTATAATTGAATGTGCTACTTGAATACATTAACTGGCACATTTGGTATTCTGTCAACACAGGCTTTAATCCTGAGTTTAGCTGTAACATCAGTAGCGAACAGCCAAACACATGCTGATAGAGTTTAGAGAATATTAAGAATTTAAACAAATGTACACAGGAAGATTCGTCGTCTTTTGGGAGGTGATGAAAACTACAGTCGTTGGCAGGATCAGAGATGGGGCTCTGGCAGGATCACTCTGATTTCGTTTTCAGCTTATGTTCAAAACAATCACGTTTAAGCCACTAAATTAGTTTAGTCCGGTTATACATACAACCGCGAACAGCACATGTTGTCCCTGAGCTCCCTAACGACATCTCTCATAAAGATTTGCGTCTTTAAATAGTAAAATAATTCTCCGAAAAACAGCTAGCCTCTTCGCTAACTAAACACACAAAATAACATTGGAATGCTACTTCCGCCGCCTCACCGGAAGTTTCACCCACTTTATTTTTTACAGGAGCGCCCCTCGGAAACTTGTGGATAATGGAATAATTTTAATTTCTGTTCATACAACTTTGAGAAAACCTTGCTAAAGTTCTGAGGACGTTCCCTGTCAGCTGGGAAGGCCAGAATCACCTGCTTAACTTCCCCCTATATGTGCACTGTCAGTTGTTATCAGATCAGCCATGTTCAAGTCAAGCATTTGCAGTTTAGCCATAGCATGGAGTCTTAATGTCATATTGCCAAGCTTTCCAGCAAAAAGACGGTTGCAGATGAATCTCAATAATGAGCCATGTGCTGCAAACAGCAGGATTCTTGTCTGGTCTCCTGTTCAAGCTGTGACTTGAGTATGCTTGCTTTGCACCCAAACAGGGCAACAGTGGGCTTAAAGTGTGCCGCCCCATTTTATAATAGAGGATTATTTAAAAATCTGAATATTCAATCAGTGTAGGAAATAATTAAGCATTCACAAATCAGCCCTGCATCCAATACGCATACTGATCATCAGCTATGGTCTGCATGCAGGATATTGTACACTGAGCCAAGTGCAGAACATACAGTATTGGATCCTTAATTAGAAGCTATGCCTGTTTAACATCCCAGATCGAGCCATTTATTGCAAGTTGTCCATGCACGTGCAAGAAAATGTAAATTTATACATCCAGTCAAGTGAAGGACTGAAGGCAAAATGGCCTCCCATGCTGTGTCTCTGCACAGCTCATTAACTGGGGTAAAGCTAGACCTCCACACACAAACCCCTCATCCTTGAGTTTAGTTTTGTAACTGGGCACTGGGTTATGATCTCTATGGAAAGCTTGTGGAAAGGCTACAACCCTTGGCTCTGGGGGATCTCTCTTTAGGGGCGTCTTGGAATAAATCGAGTGCTGTCTGAAAGGCAGCTGCATCAGAGCTGTCAAATTGTCATGTCGTCTAATTCTAGAAATAGCTGTGAGGAGGGTTTGGGAAAGAGGCTGTCGGATTATCCGTGTTTATAAGAAATGCTTTAAAAAGATCTCAGCATGCTTGAAAGATGCAAATAAATGCTCTTTGAACGGAAAATGTCGATTTCATCCTTGACTTATGGTGTGAAGGTTTTTTGTAGTTATGTTTGGCGCCATCTTTTGGTACTGAAACATTTAGCAGCCCATGCAAGCACATTTATTTGATATAAATATATATGATATATCAATACAGGCCTTATTTCTTCATTCTGTTTTCTTAAAACCTTAAATATTTAACATAGCCTTTTTATTTTTTTATTTTCAGCTGACTCATCTTAGAAAACGAATATGTTGTCTGTGAATTTGGACGTTTGTAAATGAAGACTATGTGCCTGTAATTTGTATTTCTATTATCTAGTATTTTTGAATTTGATTGTTTGCCTGACCATTTTGAGTCACAGTACTTATAGCCTATCAGATGTATTGTTGTTTTGGCCAACCTGGCCTGGAAACTTCTAGAACCTTCTAGAATGTGAAAAGCTTCCCAAAGACAATAGAAATAGAAAGAGGCAATGAAAAGACTATATTGTTTTTATTTTGTTTAAAAATATTCATAATGTTCACTCCCATAATGATTATATTTGAGTTAATGCATATATGTAGGCGTTTATATCTATTTAGTTGATGATCATTATTTAATTAAATGTTATTTCTTTTTCTTAATATCTTAATGTTTATTTTTCTTACATTTCTTTTTCTTAATGTGTTTTTATTTTTATTCATTTATTCATTTTTATTTATTGAATTATAAATATTGTGCTCATGTGAGGTTTTGAGGTTTTTTTCGGGAAGTTACAGTGGGTATTTTAGTTTCACATAGTTATGGTGGGGTGCCGTCAACTGTTTGATTACCATTATTCTTCAAAATATCTTCTTTTGTATTCAACAGAAGAAAGAAACTCAGATTTGGAAAAGGGGTTTGTATGTAATGACAATATTTTCATTTTTTGGTGAACTATCCCTTTCACAGTACTGGAAATCGACTAAACCCCGCCTCGGTCTGCCTGATGGGGGCGTGGTCAAAGCATACAGACAAACCCGAACCAATAGGCATTTAGAAAGCCGGAGCTCTGTGTCAGCACTGCCCAATAAGGTGATCCTATGTTTGGACATGGACTTTCTCAGAGTATATAATATGGGAGAAGCCCGCACGTCATTGCCTGACGCCAAGGGTTGGGGTGTGCAGGCGCAGAAGTAATCTTGCTTTAAACTTACATACTTTGAACTTTCAATTTTATTTTTAAATAACTTTATTTCATAAATAACAAATATTTGTTTGTAAAAAGATCATCAAATCTACAAAAGGTAAGGAATATTAATTTATTATTAATATTTCGGATTTTATAAATAAAAGCGCAGTGTAACGTTAACTTAATTATTACATTACGATGTTTTTTCAAGCTCTAATGTTAGATGTTTCTTTTAAACGGATGGTTGCTCAGTCCTACAAATGTTCTCCACCACCGTAAAACAGAAGCGTCTCTATGTTCGTATGTTTTTATATGCTTTTATGGCTTGGAAATGGAAGCTAAATAGTTAATGTGAATATATTGATTTAAAGTTTAACATCAAGTCGAATAAAACAAAACCAGATGAAGTTGAACGGCTTAAAAGGAGCACAAACATCGTGAACTCGCTGGTTAGTGGTTAGCATAACGTTAGACTGTTTGGTAAGTGGACATGCCCCGACATGACCAGCGGCCCTCGCGCACGAGTGAGCCTGTAGTCTCGAGCTCTGACTTTTACACCATTGAGTTACGCACAAAACAAAGACGACGTTGTAAAACATAAGCACTTTTGTGTTGAGAACATTGTCAACGGGTGAATGTTGAAATGTTTTATAGTTGAAATGTTTTATATAAGTCATGATGACATGCCCAGACATGTAACGTTAGCCTACTTAGACCCTCCTCTCAAAGGGTTCAAGATGAACACAACACTTGGTTTAACTTACAGCGGTAGTTCTGTCTGTAACTGTCTTTACTAACGTTATGTCATTCCAAACCTGCTTTTCTTCACCTTACGAACTCCAATGAAGATATTTTTTAATGAAATGTGAGATTTCTGTCCCATTGACAGCTACACAACTACCACCAATTTGACGCTTCAAAAGGTTCATAAAGAGATTGTAAAACTAATCCATTTGAATAAGGTTTAGTCAAATTTCTGACGATTCTCGATCGTTTTGTTAACGTATAAGAACCAATGAGGTTCATTCTCGTTTCACGCAACACGTTTGAGCTTCAGTAAGAGCCAATGAGGTTCATTCTCGTGTTACGCAACGTGTTTGAGCTTGTGAGCCAATGAGGTTCATTGCATGTTTGTTTGAGTTTTTGTTTATGTTTGCAGATCAATGTTTATGTGAATAAAAAGCCTAAATTCAATCTCTTCGTCATATAAAGCGATTTTGGACTAAACCGCTCTATTCATGGATTAGTTGTACCTCTTTATGAACTTTTGAAGTGTCAAAAAGTGTAGTTGCTTAGCTGTCAATGGAGGGACCGAGAAGCTCTCAGATTTTATTAAAATTATCTTCATTTCTGGTCCGAAGATGAACAAAAGTTTTACGGTTTGGGACAACTTAATTAGTGTGAATGATTAATGGCAGAACTAATTTGAGTGAATCAACCCTTTAATTTGCATTGTTAAAATGGTATCATTTTGATGTCCTTAAAAACAAGTGTAAGACTTTTTTATATATATATATATATATATATATATATTCTGAATTCAGTTATTTTGGGAACACTTGAGCACTAGGAGGTGATTCATAATTTAGCCTACTTATGATTCATATTTACTACTAGAGTGAAGAAGTGGTCTGTTTTTAGCTAGTATTTGCATCCCACTTTAAATTAAAGCCCACGTTTTAACGAAAACCATCTAATAGAAGCTTTCAACAAAATGCCACATTTGTACATGGCTGAATTATCTACCATGTAGAATTTATTTTCGCTGTTATCTTAATGTTTTAGCATTTATAACTTAATTCTAAAGGTTGTTTATTATTTCAGATGATTGACAAGGTGACCGGAGCAGGGGCTTTGCCTTTTGCAGTCCAGCTCAAAGCTCTTCTGGACCAAGAAGCCAGATACCAGCCCAAACTCGGTGGACTCCGAGTGATCGAGTCTGCTCAGGATAATGGTCTGAGAATGACTGTCAAACTTCGAGACTTTCAAGTGAGGGAGCTTCTCTCCTTGACACGATTCTTTGGCTTCAGTGCGGATACGTTCTCCCTTGCTGTGAATCTTCTAGATCGATTCCTGGCTGTGGTCAAGGTGTGTTTCTGGACAAATTGAATGTTTATTATACCAATGGGCCTAATCATTTCAGTTTTTGGCCTTCTGAAAATGAATCAAAGAGGTTTTATCTGAAGGCCCCTGTCTTTTCTTCAGATTCAGCCCAAGCATCTGTCCTGTGTGGGTCTCTGCTGCTTCTACATCGCTGTGAAGACTTCAGAAGAAGAGAGGAATATTCCTTTGGCCAGTGACCTCATCAGGATCAGTCAGAATCGCTTTACGGTCCATGACATGATGAGGATGGAGAAGATTGTTCTGGAAAAGCTGTACTGGAAGGTCAAGGCTCCAACTGCCCTTCACTTCCTCAGACTCTTTCACTCTCACATTCAAGAGAAGATGGCCACAGAAAGGTGAGCGGTTTGACTTTGTGTGTGTCTATAAACAATGCAGTTCAAAAGTTGGTATGAATTATGTAATGTGGAATATTACGGTTTAAATTGTCCGTTTTCTATTCTAATACATTTCAAAGTGTAATTTATTCCTGTGATCATTACTGCTCAAGAAACATTTGGAAACCGTTGTGCTGCTTAATTTCTGTGGAAACCGTAATGAGTTTAAGATTTCTTTTAATAGGTTCAAAAGAAAGCATTATTTGAAATTAAAGTCTTTTGTAACATTGTGAATGTCTTTACTGTCACCTTTTGATCAATTTAATGCATCCTTGTTAAATAAAGTATTAATTTCTTAAAGGAAAAAGTCTTTCTGACAGTCATTACCCACATGTTTGAATGTGTATGTTTCTTGAAAACAAGCCTAACCTGTATTAAATTATGTCATTGGCCTGATGAAATAATGTATCTTTGCAGTATGAGGATTCTGAACATTGAGAGGCTTGAGGCTCAGTTGAAAGCTTGCCATTGCTCCTTTGTTTTCACCAAAATAAAGGTAAGCTGTTTGGACCATTCTACAGTTTGATTTCTAAACAAAGTATGTTTTGGAGTTTGACTAATTCTGTTTCTACAGCCTTCACTGCTTGCTTTGTCACTTCTGGCCCTGGAGATCGAGGATCGGCACGAGTGTGAGCCAGTTCCGGCTCTGAAAGAGGCTCTAGATGGTCTACAGGAGCGTTTGTCTGTGAGTTTCCTTTATTTGGATTCAAGCAGATTTACTGATTTCCACACATGGCTGCTGCTCTCCGTGTTTTCACTATTAACGGTTGAGGGTGTCATTACACATCTTCTGAAAGATTACTGAACCTCCCGATCGAAACTATCGATGCCATTATGTAAGCAGATGCATATAATAACCTGATCCCTTAGGGGTGGGTGAATCACGATTCTTTGATTTACTATTTTGCCAGTGACTGAAACTAAATTCCCTATTTTAAAATCAAAGCCTTACAAGGTAACAAAATAAAAAAGAATGGCAGACATAATTTTAATTTTAACAAAATAAAAACAAAGGCACATTACACATGCCTGATAGCGCTCCGGCGCCACGCCGGATTTCCGGCGTTCAGATGTGTCTGGGGAAAAAAAAAAAACAGATTCGCGCACTAAACCACATATGTAACCTTACTTCAGCCAATCGGCAATAGGGTAGGGGCTGGTCTTGGGTTTTGGCCAATCAAATTGAATCAGTAGTCACTTCACGTGCGATCAGTTTTTTGTGCGTTTTCCACACTGGCAGCGCGAAATCTAGCCGAAGTCATGGAGCGCAACTTTATGAAGCCGGGGGAAGACACCAAACTTGTCGATAAAGGCATAAAGAATAAATGGCGCTGGTCTTGGATAGAAGAGTTGGGTAGAGACGAAAAGCCCTTTGGAAGCTGGTGTCAAAAACTCCGGCAACCAGGAGCATGTTTCTGCACTTTGTGTGCAAGGAAAATATTATATGGAACTAGCGGGAAAAAAGTGCTGCCACGGCACGAGTTAGACCCTAGTCATCAAGCAGCTGTCCGAGCGATTCAACACACCTCACGTTTGCCGGGGGCAACAGCCACAGCAGATATCCGACCCTCAATGACCGATCGTGTGGCTGATTTAAAAATTCGCTTGTGCTCCTTCATTGCCGAGTTCGATCTGTCATTTACAATCGCTCATCCACTCGTCACTCTGTGTCAGAAATTAGCGGAGGATAAACTCGCCCTAACGCATCTGTCTGTTTCGAGGCAGCAACCTCAAACAAATAGTAACAATTTCAACATATGCATGAAAAAAACGAATTATTAAAAATGATCAATATATGAAGAGTTCAGATGCAAAAGCCTCTAAGTGCCTAAATTTTCTGCTAGAATGATAATTTTTATCAAGCTTGTATATTTAAGTTCAGTAATTTCACTTAAATTGCAATGAGAATTACCTATTAATTGTCATTTTAGTGAAATTACTGGGCTTAAATATATAAGCTTGATAAAAATGACCATTTTAGAAGAAAATTTCAAATGGCACTTAGAGGCTTTTGCATCTGAACTCTTCATATGATAACGATATTCAAAAAAGGGATGGGCACCCCTCCAGCACATGCAAACACACAGGCTACATAACATGTGAGCAAAGCGGAGCAGCATGACGCTTAAATAGCCTATAAGTTAAAAAAAATAAATAAATAAATAAACATAAAATAGCCTATACGTTTCACATTTGTTTTTAATAATATTACATTACTTATTTTTATTATTTCATCTATTTTGAGTAGGCTATGAAAAGGGAACCGCATGAGATGAGTAAGATAGGATCAAAATTCAAAAGCTGCCCAATATCGGAAAATATTTGGAGTGCGTCAGACATGATTTTGACCACTTATTAAGTTTTGTTTTGTAGAAAGCTTGTAAATTTCGTTTCATATAAATTGTATCTTCATTTTAATAAATGTTTCATCGACAAATTGACTGGATTAATACATTAGAAGTAAATATCAGACAATATCAGGCGCAGGTGAACCGGAGCGCGTCTCATAATATGAACCGAAACACCGCGATGCTTGCCTCACACAGGCCTGAGAACTAAGCTACAGAAAGCTTTAAATATCTACTTTTAAACAAAACAATTAAAAACTAAAATAAATTGGCAACTCTCTGCGTATGTAGGCTAATTCGAAGTATGCGTTTCTATAGGCCTATGCGCGTTCACTGCGAAGATGGCGAGTAAGCATCATCAACTTTATCTTTGTTGCTGACACTGACAGAAAACACTAGTTTATTAATAAACAATTTAAATGTTTCATGCATAATCATTACTTTTGCCGGTTCTTTGTGGCAAGCTTTATGCATACGTTGAAATGCGGAATAGGCAATTAAAAACGCCCATATGGTTTCTCTCCCATTTAATTAAATCAATATATGTGATTACTGATAATACAAATGGCTTAAATGGTGTACTACTAGTCGACTAGAAAACTAGGACTCATTTTGAGGAATAAATGAACATAATAAACCTCTGTTCAGAGTGCCGCCGTGCTGGATTGCATGGAACGCTCATTGAATTTGAGGATTTATCGTGTTCAGGCTAAAAACAGGGCTGGCGCTTATCGCGGCTTGGAAAGAAACTGTATCTTGCAGTACATTTTAAACAAGGAAATATAGCGATTTGGCATGAAACGTTGATGGAGCAGCGAAAGGGTTCTGTCCACAGCAGAATGACACGACAAACTCGTTTTTTTTTTTAAATGGCGGTTTTCGCGTTTTGGAAAAGAGCTCTTCAAATTGAGTGTTACATTACATAGGGTTTTGTTGCACTGTAACTGTTTAAAAAATATATTTAAAATAAATGGTGCATATTTTGCATTAAAATGAATATCTCCTCGTTCATGCGTCCTTATTTTCTATGGTTAGGCTACTAATGAATTCCTAGTTTACTTTGGAGAATTATAATTGCCACGCTCTGACCTTTCTTGTTATGGATGTTGTATAGTCTTAGTACACTATACAAGCAATAAGTACGCAGGTAAATGACTAGTTAAAAGCAGGGATGGATTAATAAACAGACCCAGGGTCCCAGGAGCTCTGGTGCTCTACACAAATATGCTACTGTAATATAGGCTTTGTATTGGGTTTGTTCATTTCATGTCTGAATGATGTCCATTTATATCTACAAAAGTCACCAGAATCATTTAAGGGACTACCTGTATTTATCAAAATGTTCTCCCAGGGGAGCACACTTCTGGATCCCGCTTGACAAATGTTGATCAGGGCATATATCTCTTGGCTTAGGGGCCGCTTACCTCCCAGGGAAAAAAGTTCAGGCTCAGGATTTTTTTCTACTATCACCCCTGCATTACATGTATACACACCAGAGGTGGGGACAAGTCACACATGGTCAAGTCCAAGCAAGTCTCAAGTCTTAACCATCAAGTCTCGAGTCAAGTCTCAAGTCGCAGTTCAGATAAATCAAGCAAGTCAAGTCAAGTCAAGGGTTCACCCTAAGCAAGTCAAGTCAAGTCCTGATAAGTTTCAAGTAAAGTCAAGTCACACTACTAAAATAAATAGAGGTAAATTTTTTCGATACATATTTATTTTTGCACAGAAAAGATGAACTTTTATACATATATTATGTATCTTACATTTGCTATATTAATCATATGCATATCTGTGCTACATTAATATCTGAAAATAAAATAAAATTGTGTTGTTTACACAAAACGTTCAGAGTCTAAGATGTATCGATTCTAAGATGTATAATCCAATCTGTCTAATTCAATTTAATTGAAACGGTCTAAAATGTATGAAATCTAAAATGTAATATCTTATATCTTATATAAATGTAAAATATAAAATGTATGAAATGTATGAGAATATAAAATGCAATTTTTTTTTAATTCAGTAGTTTTTCTTATCATAGCCAACAAATGTCTTCGGAAACTCCTTTTCCTCGATTTACTGAAACCTATATGTAAAACGCATTTGCAGCTGCACAGCCGTGTATCTATGCTGCATATACAGACATCCCAACCTACAAGAATTCATTTCAGGGAGGTATATCTCAATGAATGTAATGTTAGGGGGGGGGGGGGGGGGTGTTAATATATGTTATATTAACATATTTAAAATATGTTTAAAATAAATATAAAATAAAAATGGTAATATGTTATATTAACATATTTTATATTTAATAAATATTACATATTAAATAATATTATGTATATTATATATTAAATTTACATAAATATTAACAAATGATTGTTTTAATTATGGAATTCTCCATAATTAACTCCTAAACTTCAGTAGAGAACAATTCTTTGTAAGGAAGGAGGGGTTTCTTTATTGTACATTTATTTGCATGTAGTATGTAGCATATGGTTTGCGTTGCTTTAAATTGGTCAGTACAGCGCTGACTATTGAGTGTCGCTAGGAAACACGTCCGCGCTGCGCTGACGAATCGGCTGCGCGGCTCGGATCATTGAACCGTGCAGATGACATGTCTGCGCGGCACGAGCTCTGTAAAGCCCCGCTGTCTCGTCCCACTTTTGGTTTGTTTGGCTTCCCATATCTCTGCCGTGCACACGCCGCACGCTATGTATGTTATACGCGCAGTATCTCGCTCTAGATTCCGGGAGATTTTAACTCATTTGCGGGCATCAGGGAGACGCTATCAATATGCGTGAGACTCCCGGAACTTCCGTTTGGCGCGGTTTGAATTGAGCAGCGTAAAGGCACAGATGCCGATATATTGATGCTGACGTCATAATATATATTTTAATTAACTGTATTGCTGTTTGTTTATTATATGTTCAAGTCATTGTCGAGTCTTCCACTTCAAGTCAAGTCAAGTCTCAAGTAACTTGTTCTCAAGTCAAAGTCAAGTCAAGTCATTTTTGTACTTTAATCAAGCAAGTCACAAGTCCTGAAAATTGTGACTCGAGTCAGACTCGAGTCAAGTCATGTGACTCGAGTCCCCCACCTCTGATACACACACCATACAAATGAGAAAAATGATAAAATGAAATATGTTATAAAACACCACTCTACTTCTTTTTGAAGTACATTACATTATAAACATTATAAGCACACAAATATGGTTCAGGCAACGCAGCGTATTGATTATATTCACAGCATATGTACGGTATATATTTATAACAAAACTAAATATATAACACAACCCTGCCTCTTTTTGTTTAAATGTAAAAATGTTAAACATATTCCAGGCAATATGTAATGTATTTCATATTGCATTGGTAGAATTGGTACAAATGTTGCAATAAACAACATTAGATGATCCTGTAAAAAAAATATGAAAAATGACAACTCAACCCTATCTCGATTTGTTGAATTTCAGTTTTATCAATAATAGCCATTATAAATGTATAAGTAAAAGGTACAAAAAGCTATACAGTAAATCATCCTTTTAAGGACAAGCAGCAGCATGTTTAATATTAGGCTACTGTCACTTTAAGAGCAGCACACATCTAATAAACATGCATATGACACTGACTTGATTTCCTCTCAACTGTTCACTTTAGACCTAACCAACTGTGTTTATGTAAACCTTGTGTGCATTTGACTAGGGCTGGGTATCGATTCACATTTTCAAATTCGATTTCGATTCTCAGTTCGATTCGATTTTGATTCTCGATTCGACTATAATGAAGATGTAATACAAATCCTATATTTATAAAAAAGAACAGTGGACATAAGTTTACTAGTGGTTAATTAATACAAGGAAATTAAGAGCCATAAACCTGTATATAAAACTCTTTTTATTTTAGGTACACTAAATGCATACAGAGAATAAACAGGATTTTGATGCAATATGCAAAAAAAGTCAGAACAGTCGCACAGCTTGATCAAACAGTATCATGTTATTTTATGTTTAAGATAGATATAGATATATAAATATTTAGACTTTTTTTTTTTACATTGATCTTACCTAAATGGTAATGTAATTTTTTGTTTATTTTTGTTTTAAGAGTTTATGTATGGAAGCTTGATTTCAATCTTTGAATTAAATTGAAAAAAGTAGCACAAATAAATACAATAGAATAAAGACACAAATTAAGAGACATTTTGGGGTAATTTTTGGGTATGTCAGAAATACAGAAACTCAATAAAGTAATCCAATTTAAAATAACACTGGATAGTCTTTTTAGTCCATACAAAGGCTATTAATTCTGATTGCTTACAATTAATACTATATTCTGTTGTTATGACAACAGAATTAATGACTGACACAAATGGCTGCGTTCACTTTAAGAACTAGTGTGCGAATCCATTACTGTTTCATTCACTTTCTGTCACACACGTTTAATGCTAATTTAAGACATTACCGACTGTCTTTAGGAGGTTACTCACCAAGACCAGAGTTTTGACATAATGTTGCGTGTTTTAACTGTTAAAGTGATATAATCCAGGGATAAAACTTTTGTTTCTGGCGAGCTGTTTGTGAGGCAGATTTAGGCTGTAACGTTACTGTGCACGCAGTGAAAGACATCTCTGAGAGTGCGCGAGCACGGGATGGTTTAACATTGCTTGTAAAACTCAAAAAGACGTGAAAATGATAAACGTTAGTTACGATGCAATGCTGGCCCGATTGTTAAGTGAATATTTCGTCGTGTCCCGACTCCTAAACGCGTGTGTGTATCGACAGCTGCAGCGCTTGGCGCTTGCCTAGTGCAGAGAGACGAGAAGATGCAGCACCGCGTCCGCGAGCCCTTTATATGGAAAAAATCGATTCCGGCCGTTGAGAGTCGATTTTGAATCTAACACATTTTATAAAGCGATTAATCGAAAAATCGATTTTTTTGCCCAGCCCTACATTTGACAGTATTAACTCTAATGCGGCAGAGGTTTTTTCATAAAACGTTAAATTGACATCTTAATTTCAAAAGGCTACATCTCAATAGGGACGAGAGACTTTCTGTAAATGAGAGAAATATTAAAGATGACCCAAAATTTATAAAGGGATTACATTTTCCCATCTAATTTGCATATGATGTTATATGGTGGAGGCAATCTCGGATTATATAATTTTCCTGAAGTCGAATGTTTAAATGATGAAATGCAGCGCTTCTTTCCCCCCAAAATGTCCTATTCCTATGCATTGATTGTTGCTATGTGGGTGGAGGTCAAAGATTTAAAGGGATAGTCCCCATAAAAAAAAAAAAATTGAGTCATTAATTACTCGCCCTCATGTTGTTCGAACCCCATAAGACCTTCGTTCGTTTTCAGAACACAAATGAAGGTATTTTTGACTAAATTTGAGAGCTGGATCACTGCTACATAGGCTGCCTAAGGGATCAAAACTTGACGGCCCAGAAAGTCAATGAAGAAGATGTTTAAAACTGGACTTAAAGGAGTAGTTCACTGTAAAAAAAAAAAACCTTTTGCTGATAATTTACTCACCCCCATGCCATCCAAGATGTCCATGTCTTTCTTTCTTAAGTCGAAAAGTAATTAAGGTTTTTGTTAAACATTCCAGGATTTTCTCCATATAATGGACTTCAATGGGAACCAAACAGTTCAAGGTCCAAATGAGAGTTTGAAAGGGCTTTAAACGACACCAGGCGATGAATAAGGGTCTTGTCTAGGACCCTTTGAGTCATGACTCAAAAAAAGATTTGTTCGTTTTGATGGACAAGTTTGAACAGGAGAGTCACGAACGCTCATCACAGAACAGAGCAAGGCGAGCATTTGTGCTTATAAAACTTAAACTTTTTTTATTTATTTTTTAAATGACCGATTGTTTCGCTAGATAAGACCCTTATTCATCGTCTGGAATCATTTAAAAACTGTTGAAGCTGCACTGAAACTCTCATTTGGACCTTGAACCGTTTGGTTCCCATTGAAGTCCATTATATGGAGAAAAATCCTGGAATGTTTTCTTAAACCTTAATTTCTTTTCGACTGAAGAAAGACGTGGACATCTTGGATGACATGGGGGTGAGTGAACTATATTGGAGAGGTTGTGCATACATTGGCAAAGAGAATTTGACGTTTCGATTAAACAGTAATTATTTGTATTTTGTGATTTTTGCATTTCAGGTTAAAGCTGGAGACCTGGTTTGCATGAGAGAGCTTGTTGCTAAATGTCTGGCTGAATACGCCACCACCAAGTGCCTGAAACCAAATGGCCAGAGACTGCGATGGATGATTTCGGGTAGAACCGCCAGACAACTGAAGCCAAGTTACTACAAGATTGCACATCTACCCACGATTCCTGAATCTGCTTATTAAGACTGTTAGTGTTGAGTGCCCATAACTGAACAGCTTAATTCAGTCCTATAGAAAACTGCTTTTAATACTTTAATCTATGTTATGGACACCCAACACTAATTTCTGCTAACTTTAATTCCTTCTTCTTCAGTCTTTATGTCCTCTATGACACCTGCTGTGATTGTATTTATCATCCGCACTGGCTCAATCTTGATTACTAGTCAAGGGTGGGTTTGAGCAAGTTTATCAGATGGGTTTCACTGATAAGGCTTGCTCATGTTCATTTGAATCGGCGCAAGAAGCGCCGGTTGTTTAAAGCAATTAAGTATAGAACCGCCTAGGTCCTCAGTCCACTGTGTGGAAGAGGAGGGAGAAGGGTTTTGAGATTCAAGACAACAACAGAACCAAGAGATCAGGCCCAAAACCCTTAACTCCCATCCTAGGTTGTCAGCTGTTGTAATGCACACTCCTACCCAAGGTGATGAAAATGAGATGGTTTTTTTGTTTTCTTTTTGTTTATTTTGGCATTCTGCTTTCTAACGTGGCTTGAAGAAATTTGGATGGCTATGGAAATGCAGGTTTTAACTTGATTTACGCCTCTAATATGAAAAAATAGCTAATTACCAACTAACCAGGCAGAAGCTTATTTTACATTTGGTTGATTACTACAAATTTTTGTAACCACGACCATTTGTTTTATACCTGGTATAAATTCAACTCCAAACAGAGATGAGTGGGCCAAATAAAACTATTGAAATGGATCGAATTGAATGCAAGTGGCTCTTTTTGTTTTGGCTGTTATCTGGAAGATGAGGCAGCGTTTTGCAAGATGATGTAGTTGAACCTTTCAATAAAACTGTATTGAAAAGTGAAACCTGCTTGTTTGTGGTGTTTGAGAAAAGCCATTTAATAAGTGCTTGAATAACTATTGAAATTCAAAGGATGGTTAAGCCAACAGTCTTCTAAAACCACTGTGGTGGCAATTACAAAATAAAACATTGCATTGGTAAATTGAAACCATCATAAAGGCTGCTTGTGATTAGATTATGGCTTTATATTCGTAGCCACATAGCACTGCAATATATATAAAACCAAAGGAAGAATTGTGAAAAATGTTCTCATTGGAAATAAACTGGTACAATTTGGTAAGACTAAGTACATTAATGAAAGCAGTCCTTTATTTCTGCAAGCTGGAGAAATCTGGTCCACCACCCTGAAAGTTCCCAGAGATCTCTGCCCCACTGAAGTCAAATCCAGGGTTCTGTTTGAAACAAGATGGGGAAAATATAGAAATAATAGATACAAGAGATTACAAGTGTGTAATGGCCCCTAAGAGACTAGTTTTCTAAAACATCTTCACAAATCTTGCTGACCCCAAACTTTTGAAATGTAATTCAGCAAATATTTATGGGTTTTTTTTTTTAATTCAGGAGGTCGTTAAGACCTTCAGGTACATCTGAAAGAAGTGTGAGTCCAGCAGGGTGCAGTGAAATCTTTCGGCACCTCTCTTTGGAACCTCTCCAGTGTGAGCTTCCTCTGCATCTGATCCTGCACCCACGGGTCCGCCGCATACTCTCCCTCCAAAAGAGACTGCCAGCAGTTCCCAGCCTCTCGGTTCGTCTTCATGAGAACTATTTGGATCATTTTTTTGTCCTCTGAATGGCACAACAAAGACAATGTTCTTCCAGAGAGTTAAAGCAAGATACATGCACTAAATACTCTGACATGAATATGTAAATGAATTTTAGCCTTACCTAACGTCCATGTTGCTTCATCGCCGACAGTAGACCCAAACAACTTCCCCTACAAGATGACAGAAAACTATTTAAAATGTTGAAATCACTGGCAACATGTACCTCAGTGGGACGTTTCACATGCCTATGCCTACGCATACACTAACGCCACTTATCCAGGCTGAAATGTGATAATGCATTGTGTTTACATGACAATAAGTCGACTAAAAACAAAATATTCCTTTTAGTCATACAGTTTACAAACAACTATAAAGGACCGATTGTGGGTACTTGAGGCACTTCTACTCAAGTTGCCTATGGCAGGGCACAGGGTTCCCGATTTTCTGAACAATGAATTTCCATGACTATTTTAATGCCTTTCCAAATGTTTGCAATTACTGGATGTAAATCTTTTAAATGATTTTAATCCCTCCCAGAGAAACCATTTGGCTGTTTGACCATCAAAACTTCCTATACTTCGTTATTAAAACATCTGATATTAATAAGTGTGATTTACATTTGCAATATTCCTATAAAAACATCTTTTGAAAATCTATGAAACTTGTTATTACAATTTTTGATCACACTTTAGATTAAGGTCCAATTCTCACTTTGAACTACGACTTTTGCCTCAAACTCCTAATTAGTGCTTATTAATAGTTAGTAAGGTAGTTGTTAAGTTTAGGTGTTGGGTAGGATTATGGGATGTAGAATAAGACATTAATGCATTTCAAGAAACTAATAAACAGCCAATGTCACTAATAAACAGCCAATGTCATGTTTATAAGCAACTAGTTATTGGTGAGTAATTGGATCCTATTCCTGAAAGTGTTATCCAATATTTATGTAATAATAATATTGTCCTCAATATTATATTTTTAGCAGAGAATGTAAAGTTAGTAGAATTTTAGATTTCTGAACAGGTGATGCTAATGTATATTACTAGTGTGTGCACAAAAAAAATACAACATATACTCTATTTTAAACGTTGTTTGTTATTTACATTTTTACCTATTATTATTATTATTATTATTTTATATTTTAATGACTTCAGAGAGCACATTATACTACAAAATCTGAACATTAAAAACATATTTTCATTCACCAATAAATTTTTTAGGTTTCAGAAGGCTGTAACGTCAATTTTGATTGTTAGTTATGGGCATTTGTGTATTATGTCAAAGTTTATCAGGTGCCGATGTGAACATGTAACGTTAACTTTGCACAAAACAACAGCACGCATCTGGTCTCTATATTGAAAATATCTTAGTCTTAACACTAATACAGGCAGATAGAATTTACTCCACGATTCTCATTATACCTTGAAGATCTGTTGGTCTTTCACACGAAGCTCTATCTGTTTGCTCCCGATGTTACACTTGATCTCTTTGGCTGAAGTACCAGGAGGAACATTCACTTCGATGAAAACCTCTTCCATAGTCTGATACCATGAGCCCCATGGTGTTTTACACGGGATCACACCACTCCTCTCGTCGAAATGCACTGACATACTGCTCGTTTCACAGGGCTCTCATTAGTGCGGCTGCCTGAGATCCTACAAAAGCACATTAGCAGCAATAACAGCTATTGCTACAGTGCAGAAACTAGATATATTTCTCATACATTCTGGCAATATCTCGCAGTGTCTTCTTCAGCAGCGGAATACTGTGGCATGACGGATCATGTGGGCCATCTAGTGTATGGAGAGTAGGTTAACAAGAGTTGTTTTAGAAAGCTTTATGTAAGTAGTAGGAAATATGTATTGTATTGTATGTGTTTAAATACATCGGCTATGTATTTTGAGTTGATATTACTTTATATTTATAACTTCATTTAAATCATGCAGTGGTCATAGACATAGACGCCCCATTAGCGGCGATACTAAGCATGATAGTAAGCCGTCCGCCATGTTGGAACGGTAAAAGTCCGTGGTCATGAGTGCGAGTTGTTTGAACGTATTTGCGTCTGCAACCATAGTTAGACCGACGTATGTATGGATAAATAAATATGTATATATGCAATCGACTTCAGCAGAGGATTTAGCTAAACTAACACATTAAAACAAGACAAAGGCGTCAGCTATAAAAACATTGTAATATTGAGTTATTACATATAAAACACAAACAAACACATTCTCAAATGTGAAAGGTCATCCCATTTCTTCAGCAATTTAAATCTAGGCCGTTTCAAAACCAGAAGCTATGTGACATCCATAGACTGTAAGGTGACATCATTGATTCTTACTGTGAGTGATGACACACTGACTGTTCCAAGATGGCAACGTGTCTGGACTTTGGAGCAGACGAATGTGGTATCTATGTGTAAATGTTTACCGCCTGACTATAAATGTATTTATTCTGTGGTTTGGGAAAGTCAGGGTAACTTCACTGCAATGTTTAGTGAAGCTCAAAATATAGCTAGAAGTTTGCTAGTTGAACTAGCCTACTCTTTAACCTGTTACTTAAAAAAGCAAGTGGATTTTCCTGATCCCCTAATTTGATTATCCTCAAAGCTTTTTACTTCACATTCAGCCCTCCATTTCTTGCCAGTCATACATACAAGACAGTGCTTCAGTTTATCTGTAGTGCATTACACAGTACATTATGCCATTTAAATATCAACAGGTGAATTAATTAAATTTTTTTGCCACTAAAATGGCTTTTCTTTTGGTCTTATTTTGTCTCACAAGGTAAGTTAATTGATTCAACAAAGTATACTTCATTTAAATGAGTTTTCTTTAATGCTTTGTTTAATTTAAGGTCTAAATTCACTGAAAGGACTATTCAAGTTGGGTTTTTTTTTTTATTTCCGTTTAGTGTTGCAAATGCAACAAGTAAGCAAAAGATAAATTCAGAAAACATAACACGGATCCTAGATGGACTACTTGATGGTTATGACAATCGACTGAGGCCAGGATCTGGAGGTAAGCATAGGCCTCACGGCATTGAAATAATGTTATATTAAGATTTTCTATCCTATGACGTTTGCTACATCATGTATTTCAATGAACTTTGTAATAATATTATGATCGAGTCACATTTTTTGCGTGTATGTGTAACATCTGATTAACTTTACAGTCTCTGTAACTGAGGTCAAAACAGACATATTTGTTACAAGTTTTGGACCGGTCTCTGATGTTAAAATGGTAAGAAAATACAGCCTTTATTGTGTTGTATTGTTTTATTGATGTACACACTGGCAAAACTTATTTATAGTGCTTCCGATCCTGTGACTAAAGTAGATAATCGGCTGAACTTTTTTTTTTCTGGCGGTGCAAATGTCTGTTCATACTCATCTCAGTATGTCAAGCAGCATCTTCCACAATATGCATAGAGAACTCAAATTATAAATTCATATTGATTGTAATGAAATCAGAACATGATTCACAGAAATAAATTGTTCTCTCTCAGGAGTACACCATGGATATGTTTTTCCGCCAAATGTGGGTTGATGAGAGGTTAGCCTTTAAGGGGCCCATTGAAATATTGCCTTTGAACAACCGCATGGTGGACAAGATCTGGACACCGGACACATTTTTTCGCAATGCAAGGAAATCGCACGCACACAACACGACGACTCCTAACAAGCTGTTCCGGATCATGCAAAATGGAACAGTCTTTTACACCATGAGGTAAAACAACTAGATGAGCTGAGTACTGAATAGCACTTGAAAAATTGGCTAGTTTCTCTATGAACAAGACAAAATGTTGTTGATGTTCCTTTGCTGCGCATTTAAGATCTTGTATATCATTTGGGTCACCTCATAATTACCTGTTTTCTCCATATTTTAGGCTAACTGTAAGTGCAGAATGTCCAATGGTGTTGATGGACTTTCCTATGGATGGGCACACATGTCCTCTCCTGTTTGGAAGCTGTAAGATCTATCTGTGTCTATCCATCCATATATCAATCATCCATCCATCTATCCTTCCATCCATTCATGCATCCATCCATCCATCCACAGCATCCATCCACAGCCATCCATCCATTCATCCATCCACAGCCATCCATCCACAGCCATCCATCCATTCATCCATCCATTCATCCATCCACAGCCATCCATCCAGAGCAGCCGTCCATCTATCCATCCACATCCATCCATCCACAGCCATCCATCCAGAGCAGCCGTCCATCTATCCATCCACATCCATCCATCCACAGCCATCCATCCAGAGCAGCCGTCCATCTATCCATCCACATCCATCCATCCACAGCCATCCATCCATCCATCCATCCATCCACAGCCATCCATCCAGAGCAGCCGTCCATCTATCCATCCACATCCATCCATCTATCCACAGCCATCCATCCACCCATCCATCCATACCGATTCATTCATTCATTCATTCATCCATCCATCCATCTATCCACATTAATCCATCCATCTATACACAGACATTCATCGATCCGCAGCCATCCATCCATCTTTCTATACATCTGTCCACATCCATCCATCTATCCATCCACAGCCATCCATCCATCCACATTCATCCATCCATCCATCCATCCATCTATGCACAGCCATCCATCCATCTATCTGCAGACGATCTATGCATCTATCAGTCTATCCACAGCCATCCATCCATCTGCAGCTATCCATCCATCTATCCACAGCCATCCATCCATCAGTCCATCCACAGCCATCCATCTCTCAATCCATCCACAGCCATCCATCCACATCCACCCATATATACACAGACATCCATCTATGCATCTATCAATCTATCCACATCCATCCATCCACCTTTTCACAGCCATCAATCCATCTATATTCAGCCATCCACCCACAGCCATCCATACATCTATCCACATCCATCCATCCATCCATACATCCACAGCCATCCATACATCTATCCACATCCATCCATCCATCCATCCATCCATCCATCCATCCATCCACAGCCATCCATACATCTATCCACATCCATCCATACATCCACAGCCATCCATACATCTATCCACATCCATCCATCCATCCACAGCCATCCATACATCTATCCACATCCATCCATCCATCCACAGCCATCCATACATCTATCCACTTTCATCCATCCATTCATCCATCCATACATCTATCCACATCCATCCATCCATCCACAGCCATCTATCCATCTGCAGCTATCCATCAATCCATCCACAGCCATCCATCTATCCATCCACATCCATCCATCTATCCACAGCCATCATCTATCAGTCCATCCACATCCATCCATCTATCCGCAGACATCCATCTATCAATCTATCCACATCCATCAGTCCATCCACAGCCATCCATCTCTCAATCCATCCACATCCATCCATCCACATCCACCCATCTATACACAGACATCCATCTATGCATCTATCAATCTATCCACATCCATCCATCCATCCACCTTTTCACAGCCATCAATCCATCTATATTCAGCCATCCACCCACAGCCATCCATACATCTATCCACATCCATCCATCCATCCATCCATCCATCCATCCATCCATCCATCCATCCATCCACAGCCACCCATACATCTATCCACATCCATCCCTCCACAGCCATCTATCCATCTGCAGCTATCCATCCATCTATCCACAGCCATCCATCTATCCACAGCCATCCATCTATCATCTATCCACAGCCACTCATCCATCAATCCATCCACAGCCATCCATCTATCCATCCACATCCATCCATCTATCCACAGCCATCATCTATCAATCCATCCACATCCATCCATCTATCCACAGCCATCATCTATCAATCCATCCACATCCATCCATCTATCCGCAGACATCCATCTATCAATCTATCCACATCCATCCATCCATCCATCCATCCATCCATCCATCCATCCATCCATCCATCCATCCATCCATCCATCTATCCACAGCCATCCATATTCAGCCATCCATCCATCTATCCACAGCCATCCATCCATCCATATTCAGCCATCCATCCATCCATCCATCCATCCACATCCATCCATCCATCCACAGCCATCCATCTATCTGCAGCTATCCATCCATCTATCCACAGCCATCCATCTATCAATCCATCCACAGCCACCCATCCCTCAATCCATCCATCCACAGCCATCCATCTACCATTTTCAACTGCTTTCTCTTATACCCTCAGATGCTTACACTAATCGTGAAATTGTCTACACATGGAGGAAGGGTCTCCAGGCATCTGTGGATTTTCCTCCAGAATCATCAAGCCTACTTCAGTATGATCTTTTGAGCCAGGCCTTGTTCAGTAAAACATATAAATTCAGTACAGGTATGTTTTTTAGTTATTGCTCGGTTTTCTGAGAATATTACAGATCTAGCATGTCAAATGTCTTGTACTATTGCTATGGAAAATGACTTATCTAATTGTGTGTGTTAAGAGCTACAAGTCAGGCTGATCCCCGGGCAGCTTTCCCTCTGAGAGGCAATCTAAGATGCTTAACTGATCAGGCCTAATTCATGATGTCTGTCTTTAAAAATAACTGTGTGTCCTGAGGATGACCAGGGGCTCTGTAATGAGAAATTCATGGGCAGGCAGAAGGCAGGGACCACCTGCTACGTACCCATCATATCTGTGGTAATGGATCAGGCACCTAAAAGAAAGGATTGTGCCCCTAAAGCTTACCTCTCATCTTCTGACTTTTCTTCTCTTGTAATTAAGGACAGACATGAAGAGTCAAAAGCCAAAATTCTCTCTAAATGTTATGGAAACCAGTTTGGCCAAATGGCCCTGATCACAGCATCATATGGATGTGTACAGGCTGCATAGTTTGTCTTCTTTAATGTCCTCCTCTAATCTCTTGGCACCATCTAGGTCTGTATTCTGTCCAGGTTGTCCATTTCCATCTTCAGAGAAAGCTTGGCTACCATCTTATCCAAACGTACATCCCTTTGATTATGGTGGTTGTCCTGTCACAAGTCGCATTCTGGATCAACAAGGAGTCTGTTCCGGCTCGAACAGTGGCTGGTATGAAAATCTTTTTTAAAATGTTCATTAAATACACTGAACACAAAGTCTCTTTATGCTGCATAAAAATACAGTAAAAACAATAATATTGTGAAATGGCATTACAATAAAAATCTATTTTAATATATATATATATATATATATATATATATATATATATATATATATATATATATATATATATATATATATAATTATATTAGGGCTGTGCAAAAATTAATTGAAAAGTAATTGATTAATCGCATCCAAAATAAAAGTCTGTGTTTACATAATATATTTGTGTGTGCTGTATAAATTATTTTGTATATATAAATACCTGTGCATGCATGTATATATTTAAGAATTATTTGCGCTTAAATTCTGTATATATATATATATATATATATATATATATATATACATAATCTATATTATATAAATATAAATATTTTATATATGAATAACACATTTTCTTAAATACATGCATGTGTGTGTATTTATATATACAAAATAATTTATACAGCACACACAAATATATTATGTAAACACAGACTTTTATTTTGGATACGATTAATCGCAATTAATTTTTGCACAGCCCTAAATTATATATATATATAATAGAATTATTATTATTATTATTATTTTTATGTAATTTATTCCTGTGATGGTAAAGCTGAATTTTCACCGTCATTACTCCAGGCGTCACTGTCACATTATACTTCAGAAATCATTCTAATATGATGATTTGATGCTCAATAGACATTTATTATGTTGAAAACAATTGTGCTAGATAATATTTTTTGTGGAAATTGTGATACATATTTTTCAGGATCTTTCAAAATAACAGCATTTATCTGAAATATGTTTTGCTACATTATAACTGGTTTACTGTCACTTTTGCTTAGTTTAATGTAATTGATAAATATCAACGTAATTCTTAAAATGTCCTAAAACCTACTAACCCAAATGTTTGAACAGTGTGGTGCATGTCATATTTTAGTCTTTCAGTATGAAATGCAAACTGAGGTTTTAACATTGTGTCCCTACCTGTTGTAAAATAGAAAATTTAACAACAAAAATATTTTATTTTATATTAATTGCAATGTTTTCCATTAGCTGTTCACCCTCCATCCCAGTAAAGAGCACCAGTCACCACATGTTATCCATATATTTATATCTATGGAATAACATACTACTATTAACGTTTCAGCAATACATAGTATGCAAACTTTGCTAAGTATGCACTTTTTCTGTATACATGCAATAACAGAATGATGAATGTACAGAATGTGCTGTATTATATTATTAGTACACTGCAAAACAGTACAATGTGCATGACTTGACCTTTTATTTTTAGAATGATGAATGATCTGGAAGTAATAACTGAAGCCTCAGTTTTTTATGTCTTGACTCATCATTTGATCGTACTGCCAAATGTTGCATTTTTACAAAAAGGGAATTAAAATAGCTTAATAGTTTTTATTTCCAGAATGATGACCGTGAATTAAAAATGAAATATGATCAGCTCATATGACGGATATAGAACCGTCACATGATAATAATATAGCATACTACCCCTTAAACATTTATTGTGGAATATATGTTCATTATAATTTTACTGTAAGAATGTTATGTGTGTGATATTTCTATTAACCTTCAATTTAAATTTAAGTTTTTTTAGTTTTTGTTGTTGAGTTGCCACAGCAACATTTATTTAAGCTTTATTTTAATTTTTCAAAGATTTTAATAGTTATAGATAACAATAACAACACTGACACTTTACTAAGCAGTACACTAGTATTCATTACGAACATAGCCTTAGTTTTCACGTCCCTCACAGGAATGCGACTTGATTTATGCCTGATGGACAGTATTTTTGGTTTGTATGTTTATTTGTGGAGAAAAACTACATTACCCATAATGCTGTACAGAAAATATCAAAAATTCCAACTCCCTCTCGCATAGATGCCTCATTAGCGGCTGTTTATATGAATATCTATATCTGCATTAGACTTCAGCAGAAGAAAGACAAGACAAAGGCGTTAGTTAACACAACATTACATCATAACATTGGCTGTTTCTATAGGGTGCTATACGTAAGCCATCCACCATATTGGAATGGTCAAAGCCAGTCGGTGAACAATCGAGAGCAAGTTGACAGTGCGTTTGCAACCATAGTTAGACGCATATATGATGGGATATCTACATCTGCAATAGACTTCAGCAAATGATCTTGCTAAACTAACACAATACAACAAGACAAAGGCGTCAGCTATACGACATTAGAAAGCTACCATAGTAAAAGTAAAAACATTAAAATGTACAACAGTTAAAACCAATAACATTGAGTTAGTACATAGAAAAACACAAACCAAAAAAATTCTCACATGTGAAAGGTTATCATTTCTTCGGGAATTTAAAGGGTTAGTTCACCCAAAAATGAAAATTCTGTCAGTATTTACTCACCCTCATGTTGTTCCAACCCCCAACCTTCGTTCATCTTCGGAACACAAATTAAGATATTTTTGATGAAATCTGAGAGCTGGATCACTCCTCCATACTAGTCCATAGGCTTCTTGAGGGATTGAAACTTGCCGGCCTCAAAAAGTTATTAAAGACATCGTTAAAATAGTCCAAGTGACTTCAGTGGCTCAATCTTGGTCACTTGGACTATTTTAACGATGTCTTTAATAACTTTTTGAGGCCAGCAAGTTTCAAACCCTGAAGAAGCCTATGGACTAGTATGCAGGAGCAAAAATATCTTAATTTGAGATGAACGAAGGTCTTACGGGGTTGGAACAACATGAGGGTGAGTAAATACTGACAGAATTTTCATTTTTGGGTGAACTAACCCTTTAAATCTCACTGGTTTCACAACCAGAAGCAACGCAATGTTGTGGCATCAATGATTCATACTGTGAGTGACGACACGCTGACCGTTCCTAGATGTATGCAGCGGTCGAATGTGTAATCTACGTATACACATCAATGCCATGAAGCAGAGGGCATAATCATGTACCTATGCTCTCCGCTTTTGTTTCATGTTCTCACGATCTTTCTTTTTTTCTCATATTTGCATGTATATCTGTACTTGAGAGCATAGCATGTTCACATAGTCTCTTCTGACCTTCAGGAATCACCACTGTGCTCACCATGACTACTCTAAGCATCAGTGCCCGTTCCTCGCTACCCAAAGTCTCCTACGCCACCGCCATGGACTGGTTCATCGCCGTCTGCTTTGCCTTCGTGGCTTCAGCCCTCGTTGAGTTTGCTGCGGTCAACTACTTTACCACGCTCGAGGTCAACAGGGAAAAACGCAAGCTCTCCAAGGCCTCCATTCTGGAGTCCATAACCCAGGGCAGCGATGATGAGGAAGAGATGGTAACTATCTCCCGCAGAGCGTAATTAACACTGTACTCTGGTCGAAAAACACAGCTGACGGAGCTCCTGGTTATGTGATATGCACCACACGAGCGCTGCTCTTCACAAACCAGTGAACTGTGTCACTGTTATTGTGATGCTAAACGAGTGTCGCTGCAGCTGCATACATGCGCCTCCCAAAGGGATGGTTAAATACTTCTAAAGACATATTTAGCACGCATCACTAATCATAGCACATGAACTAACCTTTAATGTGTCCACTGCTGTGTTAAGAAGCGACTGCGTTCAGGTGTTCATTTACCTGCTCTGTGCAGATCTCACAGCCACGTGTGAATTGTAGTTCTTATCTGTTGTGCTGAGTTAGATATGGTAATTCAACAGGCGTGCAGCGTCTCCTGGGACTGCTCTCACACGGGGAGCTCATGGTTGGTGTTTTAAAAATAGCCCCCCGTATTAAAACTGCGAGCCATGACTCCTATAATCTCTCACCTGTGCTGTGGATCCGTTTGCTCCAGTTCTCTCTCTGGCTTAGACTGGAAGAGGAAAGAAATACGACCACATAAAATGCCAGCATGAAGCGTGTAGTTTAACATCTTATTTTCATTAAGTACATTAAAATATATTAGCAGTTGACTGATATTTTGGCTAGGCAATTATTAAGCAGATATTTGGCTATTTAGGTGATTTGACACATTGGCAGAAGTCAAACCAAGCAGCTCTCTTGGTCGATGTGGCGAATTCGCGTGAAAAACTTGAACCTGTTATGAAATCTGTGTTCGAAGATCTTTCGACCAAACGAGAATGTCATGATTGTGTGGATTCCTATTGAAATGACTGGGTTTCGAGCAATGGTCAATTTCATCACACTGTAAAAAACATAATTCTGTGAAATTTATGGTAAAACAGCAGCAGATGTGTTGCCAGAATTTTATTATAAAAAAATATTGTAGCTACATTATAGGTTTTGTGGATTTAGCTTAAATTGACAGTAAAATACTGGATCAAAAATACTGTAATTAAAGGGTTAGTTCACTCAAAAATGAAAATTAGCCCATGGTATACTCATCCCCAAGTCATCCTAAGTGTATGATATTCTTCTTTCTGACGGATACAATTGGAGTTATAAAAATGTCCTGCTCTTCCAAGCTTTATTATGGCAGTGAATGGCTGTTTCTAGTTTCAAGTCCATAAAAGTGCATCTATCCATCAGAAAAGTGTTCCACATGGCTACAGGATATTAATAAAGGCCTTCTGAAGCGAAGCAATGCGTTTGTGTAAGAAAAATATCCATAATTAACAATGTCAAGAAGTAAAATAACTTGCTTCCGGGCCTAATGAACTTACGGATTTGACTTAAATGTAAACTTTACAATACGGGTGCACTAATAAGCATTAATTCATGCAGATAATACTGAATGTGTAACTAATGATTATTTAAGCATTCAGTAATGATCACCACATTAGGAACTAATTAAGAGTCTGTAAGGTTAATGTATTAGTTCATACATGAATTGTTATTAATAAAATATGTAATTGTGGATTAATTCCATAATAACTCATTTTTTAACTAATAGTGTTAATTAATATGTTAATTACCAGAATGAGCCAAAGCCTTGTCTTTCAACTTCCAGATAATATGACAGATATACTAATATGCATTAATACATGATTAATTACTTCATTGTTAGTGTAAATTTATGTGCAAATTACTACAATTACTAAATGAATAGTTAATAATGATGTGCCCCAACAAGTAAAGTCATAGCATAATGATATCTTTACAAAGCATGTCAAAAAATCTCATAGACTTACATTAAAGGAGCAACAAGAACTTGTTGTTGGGTTGTTTTAACATGGTTCAGTATGTATGCACATAGTAACCACCCACAGCACCCTACCAAGCGCTCCAGCATTGTGGCGGAAACTTTTGTACCAACCCCCAATTAAACAAGTCTGAAAATCAAATTCATTTTGCATGTTCATTTAGTCCCCCAGTGTTGCAGATATTACACATAGCAGATTTAAATTGTAGGCAGTATAATTAAACTGTATTATGTCATATATATGTATACTGTACATATTATGTAACGGTTACCAGCTGGAGTGCCCTCTTGAGCCACCAGAGGGCACTCCAGATAAGACTATGTTTCACACAAACTACATTTCCCAGAACTCACTGCCCGGACTCATCATCACTGATCACATTCACCTGTACCTCATTCACTGATTGCATTCACCTGTGTCTCATCCTGTTAGTGTGTCTATATATACCTTGTGTTCACGTTCAGTGTTGGCGAAGTCTTGTTTAAGTGTTACACTGCATTTCTGAGCGTTTTCCGTGTTTGTTTTCTGGTTTTTGACGTTGGATTGTTCTTGGATTTTGATTACTGCTGCCTGCCCTGACCTCTGCCTGTTTCCCGGATTCCCACTGTGTATTCTCCATTGTCCTGTCTGCTAATTCTCGACCCTGCCTGTACGACTAATCTTAAATAAAGCTGCATTTGGATCTTCATCTCCAAGTCTCGGAGCAGTTCGTAACAGAAGACTTCGCCACACCAAGATCCAGCAGCCATGCCAACAAGAAGCCCAGACGTCCAGATCTTGCGTCTCCGTCAGGAGAATCGGTCCGTCGAGGACTATGTTTCTGAGTTCATTGAACTGGCCCATTTTGCCTCAATGAGCACAGAGTGTTTAATGATCTTTTTCCGAGGAGGACTCTCTGAACCCCTCAGTTCACTCATGCCCTTACACAATCGTCACGGGACATTAGAGGACTATATTAACCAGGCCCTTTTGCTAAGCGGTTCCTTGTTTACTGTGGGCGTTGTAGAGAAGGAGATCCATGAACCCGTGGTATCTACTCAACCAGAGCTTCACGTTATGCCAGAGCTTCATGCCGAGCCCGCGCTCACCGTCAGCCCTGCCGAGCCTGCGCTCACCTTCCAGCCAGAGTCTCGTCCCGCCGAGACAGCCCAGCCAGAGTCTCGTCCCGCCGAGACAGCCCAGCCAGAGTCTCGTCCCGCCGAGACAGCCCAGCCAGAGTCTCGTCCCGCCGAGACAGCCCAGCCAGAGTCTCGTCCTGCCGAGACAGCCCAGCCAGAGTCTCGTCCTGCCGAGACAGCCCAGCCAGAGTCTCGTCCTGCCGAGACAGCCCAGCCAGAGTCTCGTCCTGCCGAGACAGCCCAGCCAGAGTCTCGTCCTGCCGAGACAGCCCAGCCAGAGTTCCACGTCACTTCTGCCGAGCCAGAGACGCTTCACGTCACTTCTGCCGAGCCAGAGACGCTCCACGTCACTTCTGCCGAGCCAGAGACGCTTCACGTCACTTCTGCCGAGCCAGAGACGCTCCACGTCACTTCTGCCAAGCCAGTGTCTAAAGACAAGATGGCCGCCTCCAAGCCAGTGTCTACGGACAAGATGGCCGCCTCCAAGCCAGTGTCTACGGACAAGATGGCCGCCTCCATGCCAGTGTCTCCGGACAAGATGGCCGCCTCCAAGCCAGTGTCTACGGACAAGATGGCCGCCTCCAAGCCAGTGTCTCCGGACAAGATGGCCGCCTCCAAGCCAGTGTCTCCGGACAAGATGGCCGCCTCCAAGCCAGTGTCTCCGGACAAGATGGCCGCCTCCAAGCCAGTGTCTCCGGACAAGATGGCCGCCTCCAAGCCAGTGTCTCTGGACAAGATGGCCGCCTCCAAGCCAGTGTCTCCGGACAAGATGGCCGCCTCCAAGCCAGTGTCTCCGGACAAGATGGCCGCCTCCAAGCCAGTGTCTCCGGACAAGATGGCCGACCCAGTGTCTCCGGACAAGATGGCCGACCCAGTGTCTCCGGACAAGATGGCCGACCCAGTGTCTCCGGACAAGATGGCCGACCCAGTGTCTCCGGACAAGATGGCCGACCCAGTGTATGTTCCTGAGTTTGTTTCTGTGTTTGTGACCATTTCTGTTCTAGTGTCTGTTCCTGAGCCGGTGTCTGTTCCTGAGCTGGTGTCTGGTCCCGAGCCGGTGTCTGGTCCTGAGAGGGCATCACCGCCCAGGCCGCCCAAGGGGTCTTCACCGCCGTGGCCGCCCAAGGGGTCTTCACCGCCGTGGCCGCCCGAGGGTCTTCACAGCCGTGGCCACCCGAGGGGTCTTCACCGCCGTGGCCGCCCGAGGGGTCTTCACCGCCGTGGCCGCCCGAGGGGTCTTCACCGCCGTGGCCGCCCGAGGGGTCTTCACCGCCGTGGCCGCCCGAGGGGTCTTCACCGCCGTGGCCGCCCGAGGGGTCTTCACCGCCGTGGCCGCCCGAGGGGTCTTCACCGCCGTACCTGCCCGAGGGGTCCTTGCCGCCGTGGCCTCCCGAGGGGTCTTCGCCGGCGTGGCCGCCCGAGGGGTCTCCGCCGCCTTGGCCTCCCTTACAACCTGCTCCGCCCTGGCCGCCTGCACAGCCTGCTCCGCCCTGGCCGCCTGCACAGCCTGCTCTGACCTGGTCGCCTCCACAGCCAGCTCCACCGCAGTCTCCAGGTCCTCTTCCGCTCCACGGGCCTGGCCCTCCATCCCGCCCCCAGGTCCGCCTCCGCTCCACCTCCCTCCTGGACATTTTGAGGAGCGTCTGGAATCCGCTCCTTAAAGGGGGGGCTATGTAACGGTTACCAGCTGGAGTGCCCTCTTGAGCCACCAGAGGGCACTCCAGATAAGACTATGTTTCACACAAACTACATTTCCCAGAACTCACTGCCCGGACTCATCATCACTGATCACATTCACCTGTACCTCATTCACTGATTGCATTCACCTGTGTCTCATCCTGTTAGTGTGTCTATATATACCTTGTGTTCACGTTCAGTGTTGGCGAAGTCTTGTTTAAGTGTTACACTGCATTTTTGAGCGTTTTCCGTGTTTGTTTTCTGGTTTTTGACGTTGGATTGTTCTTGGATTTTGATTACTGCTGCCTGCCCTGACCTCTGCCTGTTTCCCGGATTCCCACTGTGTATTCTCCATTGTCCTGTCTGCTAATTCTCGACCCTGCCTGTACGACTAATCTTAAATAAAGCTGCATTTGGATCTTCATCTCCAAGTCTCGGAGCAGTTCGTAACATATTAATTGATTACCTTTTTTGACATATGTGCATGACATTTACAATCATTTTTTAATTAGTAACCTAAATGCTGGTTCAGACTGTTAAATTTCTCTTATATCAGGTATGCTTGTTTTGTGTCATTCACAGTTTCTTGACCTATTTTTACTTTCGTCATAGCCTCAGTCTGATGGCTACAGTCGTAGAAGAAAGGCAGACTCTTTGTCTGAAGTGCCCAGAACTCGCATTCCCATCTTCCTTCAGGGCTCAGCTGTCCCACCCAACGTAATGCTGGCCGGCACCAGTACCATAGACCAGTATGCCCGCATCCTCTTTCCTCTGGCCTTTGGGATCTTCAACCTCATCTACTGGTACATCTACCTCAGCAAGGACACCATGGAAAAGCCCAGGTCTGTGCTCACACCATAGTTCAAGTATTATCTGTTAATTTACGTGTTAATTTATTTTCTCTTAGTAATAAAGGAAGAAATCACGAATCAATTGGTTCTTTTAGACAGTAAAGAGATCAATGGAGCATTAACACAATTTTAGAATTAGTCATTACTATATTTCTGAAAAAAGTGTTCACTTCCTTCCTCATAGAACTTACAAAAATAGTACAACTTTAAATAAACAGAATTTTTCGGAGAGCTCAGACTTCACTGCAACGCAAACACTCAAAATGGCAATGGCAATGCTGCTAGCTCAGAGTTGGATAACTAATGTCTAATTTCCTGCTTAAAGGCGCAGTAAGTGATTTCTGAGAATCATTGCTGAACCAAACAATCACACCCCACAAATATGCAATGCAAAAGCGCATGTCCCTTCATTGTAGCTGAAGCGATGGAAATGAAAGTTTCGTGAAAAATAAAGCGTAGATGATAAATGAACAACAAGGAAGAACAAAAAATTTACATACAGTACACAAGAGTATACAAGCAAGAGTTTGTTGTTAATCACCAGCAGCCCACACTCAAAACCATGTTACTCACGTATGGAGCAGAAACAAAGCAACCTCTGCATCCGTTTTCAGGCCTTCTCGCTTTTTGTCTCTCCAGCTCTGGAAATCTTTTCTTATATTAACATGGGTCCAAAAGCCTAATCATAGTCCTTTTTTTTCCAGTGATATTCATTTTTTTCTCTTTTGTAATGTCTCTCAATAATCTCTCTTTCTACAGTAATTCTTCAAATCTCCCTCTTGCTCACTCTCTCTCTCCTCCCCCATTATGAGTGTATACGCCCCTACTGCTGATTGGCTACAAGTGTGTTGTGATCCAATGGCTTACTGCACTTTTAAAGTTACCATGCAATCAAAACTGACTGGAATATTACTGTTTTTATTATAATGATGTATCTGTGCACTTCATTATTATCATTTTTATTTATATTCATTATTATAATTTAATTAATACGCCCTTGTAATCTTTCAAAAACAGTAAATTCATATTAGGAAAATAATCCTTATATTGCAGCAGCCTGTCAATCACATGAGATTACAACAGTTAGCAAATGTCAACGATCCAATTAATTCCTGATTAATTTTATGAAGCGAAAAAAACAACAACATAATTTACCACTTTTTTCTTTACAAAATCATGCGTCGTGATGGTCTCGTAAATGAGCGTTGGAGATTAATATTTTGTAAATAAAGTATTAAATTATATATTTTTTTCATAAAATTGAGGTTAAACCACTGGAGTCACATGTGGAGTCACACGGAAGTTTTACAGGAGTAGAATTTTCATTTTTGGGTGAACTATCCCAAAGTATATCAAAAAGGTTTATGCATTATGAAAGTTACTTATTGTATTGTAGTTTTGTCTACTGATAACACAAATGACAGATTTATTTTGTAATTCCAAGTTTAACTACAAGATCATCAGCTCCGAACACAATATCAGGGTTGTCATCTACTAATTGCGGTAATTACAGCATGATATGAATGCAGCTTAAATAATAGCAAAGGGAAAATTTTGACTAACTGACTGACTAAGAAAAAGACTAACTTGTCTAACATTTTTCTTTTTTTCCTCTGAAAAATGTAGAAAAAACCCATGAGACAAAATGTATAATTTAATAAAACACTCCATTAAGTCTCATAATCTTTAAAAAAAAAAAATGCAATAGCATTTTGATTATTAGCCATAATTACAAGATATAGTTCTTACTGTAAAAAAAAATATTGCTGGTTTAACTTAAAATTTTAAGGCAACCAGGTTACTTATTGTTTTTAAGTTCATTGAAATGGAAAAATTGAGTTAATACAATGAAGCAGACTGATTTAATCACCAGAAACTCAAAATATTATGTTATCTGAACTACATAAATTATCTAAGTTGATTTGACAAAAGAAAAAAATGTTGTGATTACAAATCATGAAAATATTTGTTTACAGTGTAGGGACAAGGAGTTGTATTGCGGATTCTTTGGCATTTATGTTTCCTGTTTTTGCTCGGTAGCTTATCTTCTCATCCCAGCAACACAGAAATGCTGTAGATGTGTTTTTCAGAAAACGATGATGGCACACTGGATCTTTTATCGAGGCTGTAAATACATGAATAATTTCTGAACCTAAAACAGCCGCAGGACTTGAGCAGGTGAAAACAGGAGAGATGATGTTCCTTCTGGGTGACCCTGTTCCTGCGGTTCCTGAGGTTAGAGCCCTATCCAAGATTTATCACTTAGGGCTAACTCTTTAAAAAAAAAAAAAAAAAAAAAAAAGATCAGATCCTCTGCTAGATTTTTTTTCTCTCCACCAAATGCTTGAATCATCTGATATGTTCAAAGGGACCATGAAGCAAGCGTCACATTTAATCCCAAATTTCCCTAGTGCCGAAGGCACGAGATTTACCGAATCAAGAAAATCAACACATCCTCTCAAAATAGTCACTTATCAAACTCAAAAGTTAAAGTTTCATTATTTGTTTCCTGAGGGGAGCTAAAGGCAGTCATTTGAGGCCTTTGCAATGTACTGCTTGAAATATAAGATGCAATAATGCACGTCTTAAAATGGCATCGAGCCATCGCTCTGCACATTACCACCCCGATTACACACGGAAAAAAAATATTTTCATCAAACATTAATCACTGACGTCAGGACACAGGCGATGAAAGCGCGTGTGAGGCTGTGAACACTTGTATGCCACGTTCTCATCTCTGCTGATCTTGTATTTGTCTTTGGTTGTGTTTTATCTCCACAGGGAGATCGAGTGAGTTTCTCCTGAGAAGCACGAGACATATTCAGCAGAAAGATTGTGTCTCCGGCTATAGGGCGCGCTTTCCTCTGGACCTTTCTTTCTCCGTCTCTCACTTTGGTCATCTAGCAACTTCATCCCTGATAGAGCACGCGCCTGTCTGACACTATTTGACAAGCATTTGATCCTGTTCCTTTTGCATTTATCACGTATACTTTCCACTCCACTTGCCTTTATATTCACAGCCGAGGGCCACGTCGTTACACTACACTGCAAAGCCTCCTCTGGTTCTGCTCTAGTTCTTCTAGTTCTGCTCTTCTGCATGTGTGTGTGTAGCACACTATGGAGTTGATGACATAATCTGCAGCTCTAAGTGGTGATGCAACATTGAACCAATGCTTTCAGTGGCCTGCCCTCTACAGAGACGCGGCTCGCACTACACTACATCAAAAGCAGGGTTTATAGTGACGGCTTCAAAGATTTCGCCTTGAAAACAAAGGAGAAAAAGTTCATCCATAGAACTGAACTTTTACCAACACCATTCACACGCAATACGTTTTCAGAAGCGTATGGCGATTCTCTTGACGTGGTGGCGCTGTAATAGAGGGATAAGTATATCTCAGTGTGGGGGGTGGATGTTTAATATGCATTCTCGGCTCGCGGTTTATTTGATGTTCTCTGATGTTTCTCTGTAGTTCTCGGCTCTCTCTGTTGGGAGAACATGCATATTCTCAGGAATGCATGATGATGTACTCATGAATTCAGACAACTCATAATATAATTATGCTTAACGTCATAAATGGCTTTTAAAACCCATTTGGAGGAGACAATGTGGCACTGAAGAATAAACATGCAAGTGCTAATGTAAATGATCTCAGGAAGTAAGTACATGCATTTACTGAGTTATACTTGCACTTTGTACTTGCATAATGTGTATTTGTATTAACGTTATGTGTAATTAGTTTTGTCTTTTTAAGATGTTTATTTGTCTGATGGTCAACTCATGCAAGCTACTAAACATTAAAAAATGTTTAAAGATGATTATTTTCGCAGTTCCATTTAATGGAACTTCAATGGAAATGTGAAATACACATTTTATCTATAAAGACCTAATTTTTGTGTGGTTTTTAGTTCATGTCTCTCTGTAAAATGATTTTTTTTTTCAAAGTTTAAATAAAGATTTTGAAAGTATATTTCACTCTTTCTACTAAATTGTAATTGTATTAACTTTGTAAATAATTGAAAAAATTTACCACAGTAAAAAAAAAAAAAAAAAATTCAACCACATTTTTTTTCAGTGTTGCTTAAGATATACGTAAAATTAGTAAACTCCTAAAATTTCACAAGGTAACCTTTTAACAGATCTAGGCCCGGTTTCACAGACATGGCTTAGATTAAGCCAGAATTATGCCTTTGTTCAATTAGGACATTTAAGTAGGCTAGCTTTTATAAAAGTACCGTAAAAGAAAAACAAATATTACTGGTGTCCATCTTGAGACAAAACAATGACACTGACATATTTTAAGATACAGTGCAAGTTGCTTCCAATTAAAACAGCTCAAACATGCATTTTAGTCTAAGACTAGCTTACAGGAATAGTTCACTTTGAAATTAATTTTTGATATGTTTTAGCTTACCTCAAGGGCATCCAAGATGTAGGTGTCTTTGCTTCCGCAGTAGTTTCAATTTTGATATTTTTAGCTCAAGCCGTTGGTGTCTTGTCAGTCATATAATGGAGGTCTATGGGGTCCACCTCAAAGAGCATGCACAGAGAAGTCCAAATTAAACATGATTTAATGACACGTAAATGTAAGTACACATTGATGGCCTAAGACACGAAACGAGCGGTTTGTGTGAGAAAACGAACAGTATTTATATCGTTTTTACCTCTTGTAACCACAGCCACAAAGCGCCCACACTCTCAGATCACTTGGACGTGGCTGTGGCTACAAGAGGTAAAAACGATATAAATATGGTTCGTTTTCTCACACAAACCGCTCGTTTCGTGTCTTAGGCCATCAATGTGTACTTACATTTACGTGTCATTAAATCATGTTTAATTTGGACTTCTCTGTGCATGCTCTTTGAGGTGGACCCCATAGACCTCCATTATATGACTGACATGAACGGTTTGACCTAAAAATATCAAAATTGAAAATACTGCGGAAGCAAAGACACCTACATCTTGGATGCACTTGAGGTAAGCTAAAACATATAGGCTACATTAATTTCAAAGTGAACTATCCCTTTAAGCTTTGATTGTAAAGGCAAATTTAAAAACGGACTACAAATATTGATGATTCGTTCTGCACTCAGGGGCGTTTCCAGCTTTCTGTCCAATCAAATGCACTCTGGATTGAGAATGTCCCTCCCCCTCATACCACCTGTTTCTGACTAGCAATAGCAAGCAGCTATCCACAATAAACTAAAGACTACTGTCCTATTTAAATTGGAAATACACAGCGAAGAAACCTTTACCCGTGAAGCAATTTCATTTGACATTTAGCTGTAATATGTTTATGTTATTATCTGTTTCTCTCAGAATAAATACACTGCTAAGTAAGTCTTGGCGGCTCTTTATTTCGAGACGTTTAAGTTCGTTAATGACTTTGATGATACCTGAAGTTCGGTATGACTGAAAAACCCCTTCACGTAACCTTCAGGACGCTGCACTAACCTGTCAAGTTCCAGATTCACACACACACACACGACTAAAAATGCTGCATGAAGATCACCTGATATCTTCTTTTCTTGACTTGGTTTATTCAGTCGTCCCTTTAATTTTTCCCCCGCAATGGAAACAGCTCATCCAGCATCATCAGGAGCTGCTCTTTGATCTGAAGCTGGCGTGTGCGCATGCGCAGCTCATTGCCTTCGCTGCACTGGCTTCAGTAAGTTGAATGTGCGCCGTCTTCATCATCACATCCAAAACCCCATCAAAACTGTTGCAATGGAGAGTATCGGAAAAACCCCACATATCTTCTTATTATGTCCGCTGATCGTGGCTGTGGCATGCGCGCAGAGGTATGGTTGCATTTTGTGCCTTTTTTCGAAAAGAAAATGTTGTGGTTTGGGGATGTAAGAGGAATTTACGAACATCTCGTGATATTATTGCAGTAGCAGAGACCCGAGCAATATGCCAGTGGTCAAAGACACCGTGGACAGACTCATGAAAGGATACGACATTCGGCTGAGGCCAGATTTCGGAGGTAATGCATGTGTAAAATTGGTATAATTGTTGCATTTGGTTTGTCACGCGCACTAACATGCCAAATTACTCATGCAAACCTTGTTCATTCATCTCATTCTCTGATCAGGCGTGCATGTCAATGCATGAGAAAAAAAATGAACGCATGCTTATTTACTGCTGTTTTGCCATTTTATCTTTTTCCCAGAGAGGGACGTGAACTTGGGGATCAATTCAATTTGCAGTGCAACTTTTGTTGCATCCTGACGACAAATGAAATGCCAAGCTTTACAAAAAAAAAATATATCCTTTGATGCACGCGCATACACGCGAGTCCATCAGAGAAGATGCTCAAGCTGTTATTGATAGATGGACACGTCTAACTGTTCATTTGTCAGTCATGCAGTTGCATTTGTGCGTTCACCTCCAGTGGTTGTTACAAATCAACAATTTCATGCGCATTGCCACGTGAATCTGGGGTGTTGGTGTTTCATATGTAATGTCACAATAAAATGATTTAGTGTAATAAGCCACAGTCTGCCCCTGGATGAAGTGTATACATGCATGCAATTCAATCAATCAATCAATCAGTTCCCTTTTTTTTATAACAATTTTCCCTTCTCTCCATCAGGCGCTCCGGTGGCGGTAGGGATGAATATAGACATAGCCAGCATAGACATGGTATCCGAAGTAAACATGGTATGTTGCATGTAACAATTTCCCATTGATGTTATATGTCCTGATGCAAAGCGTTATGTCAAAATGCATTCCCAGAGAATATCTATGCACACTAACTTGAGGCGCACCGGCGGATGTGTCTCACACATGATGATTAGATGTGAAACTGCAGAAGTTCATTGGCATGCTGCGGTATCTGCTCTGCATTTCGCTGCTACATTTGAATTCAAAACACACGCGCACTGGCGCACTCGCACGCGCACCCGCACGCGCCCCGCATGTCTCACACTGTGTTTTTGAGCCTAGCAGTTTTTGATATGCCACCGAGAAAACAGGCACGCTCGTGGAAGCACCTTCACACTCCATGACTTGTCTTTTGTAGCTAATCTAGTTCAAGGTGAGCGTTGCCCTCTCAAGGAGAAAGACGGCACGTGCCGTGTATGCTCACGGAATGACGTGTTTCTTTCTCAGTAGAGAGGTGTTTTGCGAGATGCACATCTATGAACAGCCTCTGTCGATGTTTCTGTGGGAGTATCTTCCTTTTAAATTGGTCAGACATTAAATTGTGATGTTAAGCAACATACTGTTGATGAGGAGAGCCGAAAAGTTTATCTCGCGCAACCGCACCCTCTTTCGGAGGCAGTGGTTAGCGCAGCTGTAATTGCAGGGGAATATGTATGGCTGTGAAATTAAAGATTTATGGCTCGTACTCAATGCAGCTTTATCATTTCAGTGGGGGTGATAGAGTTTGTTTTCAATTCATTTCCCAGTCGCTCCTTTTAACTCGATGAAGGTGAAATGGCCTGTGCCAGGAGGTCTACATTTTCTTCACCAATCGCTTTGGAGAAACAAAAGCATGCTTCGCTTGCAAATTGAGTTCACTATATATTTATAGCTCTCTAGATGGTGTGTACACACACACAAAAAGAGTCAGATCTATAATGAAAGCAATGCTGTTTCATTATATCACTGAAGTTACAGAGAAGCATTTTGTTTTGGCGACAGTTTTGCGTATTCTTGCCTGTTTAGACTGGATGTTTGATGAACCATGCGGCTTCATAAAAATATGACAGCTTTTAACCATCAAGGTCAGGATATCCCATGTACACAGAAAACCTAATCAGTTTGGAAAAGTAACTAAAATATAATGGAAATTTCTGTAATTGAATAGAAAGAAGCTTTAAAACATACATTTAACTAGAATGTTCTTTTTAAAAAAAGTCCTTGTACAGCATATTTCATGAATAAGTTACCATTTCCCATTGTTTTTTTTTTATGGTAGCAGCATCATAGGTACAACTTCCATGTTTTTGCTATTAGAATGCATTCGGTTACACTTAGAAACTTGTACCTTTGGCTATAATTTAACATAAAATCAACCAACTAAATTGAACTAGTTTTAAATGCGTCTATATTTCCACCTTAAAATAGGATTCTGCCCTTTCCCACCTTAGAGATCTTGACTTTTTGTCTGTCCAACTAATCTGTTGAATTGGTATTCATATATTGACCTTCAACCATGTCAGTTATTTTAATACAGAATGGTGAAACAAATAATTTTCTTAAATTTATGAGAGCATAAGTTGGGTCAAGAACTACTATTACATGCAAACCCATTCTGGCATAGTCTTTAAATATATTTTATTGGTAACACTATTTTAATGTCCTTGTTAGACGTTACATGTAGCCTAACTAATCCTATTAAGTAAGTACATGTATAGTAATTAATATTACTCAGTAGCGGTGTAACGATGTTACGATTCGATACATATCACGATACTGAACTCACGATACGATATTATTGCGATACTCCAGGTTAACAAAAAAAGTACTGTTGATTAAAATGCTAAATTTGATATTACTGTTTTAAAATAATTGGCACATTATTTTAGACGAAGATGCTTGCACACTTTCACTGACTAGATGTATTTAAAATAAATGTCGGCCACTTTTTACTCGTAAGTAACATCAGACATTTGGCATTATCTTGACACAAATATTTCCCCATTGCATTATTATACATTATTTTCAACATTATAAATAGTAATACAACTCTAAATTTTTTCTCACACGGTACTTTTTATTTTGGTTGAATTAATCACAATACATATTGTCATTATCCACAATATATTTTTATATTGCGATATATTGTGACACGATATATTGCTACTCGGTACTTAAATGTATAATTACCCTGTAACAATGACACCTTAAAGTAGTGTCAACATTTTATTCATGTACCTTTGTATTAATTTTAAGTTTTAAAACAGCAAACCTCATTTAAAAAGATCTTGTAGATTTTATTTCGACCTCGTTAGCTCGACGATG